AGCTCAGGGTGTGCCCCAGTCCTGACTGAAAACCCGTTGCCATTGAGTCAATTCTGAACCTTATAGGACAGAGTAGAACTTCCCCATAGGGTTTCCAAGGAGCGCTTGGTGGATTTGAACTGCAGACCTTTTGGTTAGCAGCCAAGCTCTTAACCACTACGCCACCAGGGCTCCAAGTCACCCTCAATGCCCGCCTCTCAGAGTTGGTGTGAGAAGACCACCTAAAGCTCTACTATTGTCATTACAGAGGCTGTATAGTGTCAAAGTTAAGAGCATGGACTTGAGCCAGACTGCCTGGTTCAATGCCAGGCCTGCCACTTTTGAGCTGTGTGACCCTGGCAGGGTCACCCTTCACCTCCCTGTGCCTCAGTTTCTTCACTTAGTTGAGATGATAGGGTGATTGGGAGCGTGACGTGAGCAGTGCCCAACAAGCATATTTTGGTGCTGGCTGTTGTCACGGGTTCCCAGTGGTGAGCCTTTCCATTGGCCGTCTTGTGTTTGAGTTGATGAGCTCCAATGCCAGGCGGGGTCTAACCATGCCCAGCCAGCAGGTGGGGCTCACTTGCACATGTTTCCTCCACAAACACACAAATTGTGTGCCTGTGTGAACCCAGGACCTGAGACCCAAGGGCTTGACCTTGAACAGGGGAGATGGAGGCAGATGGGGAGGCTGGGCCCCAGGGGAAGGAGAGAGGCTCTGAGAAGTCCTTACTGGGCTGCGCTCAGTCCCACCTGTGCCCCCACCGCAATCCCTGCACTGCCCAGCCCGTGGCACTCACGTGTCCCTCTGTCTTGTGTTGCAGTGCAGGGACTTCATGGCCCATGTGGGCTACGAGGTGCTGCTGCAGCGGCTGCTGGATGGTAGGAAGATGTGCAAAGACGTGGAGGACCTGCTGCGGCAGAGGTGAGCCGCGAGCACAGGGTGCTCCAGTTGGGGGGACATTTTACTGCTGGTATATAGAAACCCAACTGGTTTCTGCGTGCTGACCTCGTTCCTCCACCTTTGCTGAATTCATTTACTAGCTCTAGTGGCTTTCTTGTGGATTCTTTGGGGTTTTCTATATAGAGGATCATGTTATCTGCAAATAGAGATAGTTTTACTTCTTCCTTTCCATTTTAGATGTCTTTTATTTCTTTTTCTAACTGCTGTGGCTATAACTTCCAGTCCAATGCTGAACAGCAGTGGTGAGAACAGGTACCCTTGTCTTAGTCCCGGTCTTCTGGGGGAAGCTCTGTCTTTCTCCTTTGAGGATGATGTTGGCTGTGGATTTTTTACAAAAGCCGTTTAGCGTGTTTAGGAGTTGGCCTTCTATTCCTAGTTTTCTGAGTGTTTCTATCATGGAAAAGAAAACAAAACCAGTTGCCGTTGAGTTGACTTTGACTCATGGTGACCTCATGTGTATCAGAGTAGGACTGTCCTCCATAGGGTTTTCAGTGGCTAATTTTCAGAAGTAAATCACCAGGCCTTTCTTCTGAGGTGTTTCTGGGCAGACTTGAACCTGTAGCTTTTCAGTTAACTGTTTGCACCACCCAGGGACTCCTTGATCATGAAAGTGTGTTGGGTTTTGTTAAATGCCTCCACCAACCCCTCACGAAGTGGCCATGTTGCCTCCCCCACTCCAGCCAAGCTGCTGTCAATGCACCCTGGCTCTAAAAATTTAGGGGTCCCACTCCTTTTTTCTCCAGACCTGGACCTCCCAAAGATTTTTGGGACTCTAAGTGGACAAATAATTTGATGTCCCTTCAAATGTCCCTGTATTTGGCCAGCATTTATTTAGAGGCAGGGCTGGGGCTCACCGTTTGCAAGGTTCAGCCTGCGGGGCAATGCCTGCTCCTGAAGGCCCAGTGGTTGAAAGCTCAGGTTCTACTGCAGAGGCTTTAGGGCCCCGCAGCTGGCAGAACTGGGAGAGTCAGCGTCCACACTTGGTTCTTGCAGGGCCCAAGCGGAGGAGCGATACGGCAAGGAGCTGGTGCAGATCGCCCGGAAGGCAGGCGGCCAGACGGAGATCAAGTAAGAAGTCCCCCAGCCCTGGGGCTCAGTCCTCTCTTTTGCCAGGCACCTTCTGGGCCCTTTGGAGGGTTTAAGGCTTCCTGGCTTGGGGTGGGCTGGGGGTTAGGGGAGCAGGGGGGGTCTCCGGGCTCCAATGCCAGATGCTGTGCCCCCGCCGAGCCAGCAGGCGGGACTCACTTATGCTCGTGGGCCTGGGGCATCAGGACCCTCCTTGGTGCCTGAAGGACAATTCTCTTGGGCATTGGGCATTCTGGGTGAGGGTCTCCAAGAGACCAGGCTATGTGTGGAAGAAAATTCAGGGGTCTGAGTGCCGGAAATGGACAGGGAGTTGGTGGGCAGGAGGCCATTAGCCCACAGGAGCCTCCAGCCATGGCAGCCTGGGTGGCCTTAGGCAATTCTCTGAGAGTCGTGAGGGGGCTGGCGACAGGGTCTGGCACTGGGCTGCCCAGAGCCCCCCTCCAGCACTGGCTCAGCCTGGGCTTCAAGGAGAGGAGATGTGGCCAGAGACAGAGACACCGGGAGGGGACACACCTGGGTCCAAGTCCCAGCTCCTCACCTCCCTGCTGTGTGACCTTGGGCTGGTCACTAAAACTCTCTGTGCCTCCATTTCCTCATCAGTGAGAGGAATTGATCCTCAAAGGATTAGGTAAGTCCTCGCTCAGATCAGGCCTGGCTCTGCATAGTTGTTATTATGGAGCAGCTGGGGTTCTCCATCTGTGGAGGTCTGGGTCTCTGTGTGCAATGGCTGGGCCAGAGAGATGGGGAGAGGGTGATGGATTTCAGGACAGCTGAAGGAAGAACTTTCTAGCCGTGGAGTGGAGGAGCTGCCTTGGGAGGGCATGGACTCTCCCCGCTGGGTGAGGATCTAGCCAGGCGGAGGGTCAGACAGGGTGCTGGACCCTGAGTCCCCAAAGGGCTCTGAAGAGCATTCTCCTCCTACCTGGGGACCCCTAGACTGACCCCAACCTGCAGCTGCCGTAGCACCTACTCCCCTGGAGGGTAAGCCTGTGACATGCCTCCCTCTGCCCATGGGAGATGACCCCAAGCTCTCAGCTCTGAAGCCCAAACCGGGTGCCTCATTTGGGGAATGTACAGCACTCTCTAGCCCTTCCGAAGACTCTGTCTGGATCCAGTTTCCCATGGGGAGCCAGAGAAAACACAAGAAGGACTAGAGGCGGTGGTATGAGCCAGGGGAGATTAATGCCTAATGCCCAAAGGATCTGCGTGTTGGCTCACGGTGTGCACACGGCCCTAGGAGGGAGGGGCCTGAGCTCAAATCCCTGCTCAGTCTTTGTGAGCTATGCAACTGTGGGCAAGTCGCTTAACCTTTCTGAGTCTGTTTCTCATTTGCCCACTTGGTGGGCTGTTGTGCAGATAAACAAGAGGGCATTGCTGAGGGCTAGATCCAGATTGGGCACGGAGGAGGGCTCAAGACATGTTTAAGGAAAGTCTGCGGGGACCTGCCTTTGTCTTCCCTGGGGAACTGGTGCCTGGGGCTCTCTGCTGAAACTGACCGGAGACACCCAGGCAGGGAAGGTGCTGGCTGTGCAGGGTGGGAGAGCATAACTGAGGAGCCTCCACGGGCCTCCTGGCCTCCCAGGCCAGCCAGGAAATGAGACTGTTCTCAGGAAGAGAAGGGACCTCAGGGGAGAAGGATTCAGACACCAGGAGAGTGAGAACCAGTGCCGCAGGCCGGACTCTGAGGCCGGACTCAGGGGGCTGTGAGTCACAGGAAACCAAAATACGGAAGGAGAAACCACCAACAGAGAGAACAAAATGAGGCGGGGGAGCCAAGTGGGCCGTGCGAGGGTGGGGAGGTATGCAGTATCTTGTCCCATTTGTAGGAATATGAAGTGGCCAGGGTGAGACACAGGCGGCCCCAATTTCCGGCATGGTTATGGGAGGCTGAGTGGAACAGCTTCTGCCCTGACTTATACACTGTGTGACCTTGGGGTGGTCACTCCCCCTCTCGGAGTCCTGGGCCCTCAGCTCTGAAACAGGGCAGTCAAAATGCTGAGCAGAGAGTGCCAAACACACCAGGAATGTTTAGTAAACACCAGGGTCTTTATGGTCCACAGGCCTCCAGCCTCCATCCCACCTTATGTCAGGTAAATTGGGGTCACCTTGGCTTGGGCTTGAGAAACCTGACTGGGCAGCCTCGGCTGTTTCCTTTTGGGCCCAAACCCTCACTGGCCCAGAGCCAAGGGCCCTCAGAACAAACTGTATGTGAAGCTGGAGGCTGGAAGTCCCTGGAGGGGGCGGCCTTAATCCAAAGTGGGTGCTGTAGTGGTGGAAGCCCAGCCTGGGGTAGGGAGCAGAGCCAGGCTCTGTCTTTCTGCCTACTGAGGGGGGACTACAGCCTGGGCTGGGAATGCCAGGTCCCACCGCTCAGCCAAACCTGAAGCGGGAAAGGCAGAACAAACCCGTAGTGGGCCCAAGTCCACGGCTCCTGCTGCCCCTGCAGCCCAGCCACAACCGTTCCCAGAGCAGGCAGGGAGTGGTGCGTTGGTGCGTGCCTGGGGGCTCACCGTCAGGCTGGGGTGGCCAGAGGAGCAGGGCAGTGGGCTGGGGAGAGCACCTCCTGGGAGGGAGGGAGGGAGGGAGGGAGGGAGACCAGGTGGAGAGGAAGGGGAGGGAGTTCCTGCCAGAGCCACCTGTGTGGACAAAGGCTTAGAGGTGGGAAAGTGCAGGGTACATCCAGAGCCAGTGATCAGCAAGAGTAGGAGTTGAACCCATCCCAGATCACTTGCTGCCTCCTGTAGGGTTGTGCTCCACACAGCTCCCGGCTTAGGTCACTGCACACAGTAGGTGCTCAATAAGCGTTGCTATTGACCCACATGGCATATACTAGGGCCTGGTGAGGCCATTCAGTCATTTGCTCATTCCATTTGCATTCTCTGTGTGCCAAGCATCTATCATCCATCCATTTAGTCACTAAGCATTTGTTAAGCACCTAATGTGTGCCATGCCCTAGGCTGAGTGAGGGCTAAGTCGAGAATTTAAAGAAAATAAAACTTCATTCTCCTCCCCAGTTCTTTGCATCAGAACTTCCTTTCAGGGCTCTTATGACCCACCTCCTCCAGGAAGCCCTCCTGAATAACCCCATCTTGCCTCACTCTTAGGGTCTTAGACAAGGTCCCCCCATCCCCACATCAACCTGGAGGGCTCTTTGAGGGAGGTGTGAGTGACAGCCATGACAACATGAGTCGCTTCCTTATGTCCAACACTCATGGGGTGTGTGTCTTGGGGTTGGCCTTCCCAGGAAAGGTGGCCTGCAGGGCTCTTCCCTGGGTGGAGGGACACCTCCGGCCTCCCCTTGGCCCGCAGCTGACCCTAGTTCTTGTGGGATGCTCATTCTCAGCCCCTGGAGGGTGGCAAGGGGTTGGGAGGTGGAAAGGCTGGGGACGGGTAGGGAGATGAGGAGGACAAAAGTTAAGTGACCCCAGAAATAGTCCAGTGAGCACCTGAGAGATGCAGCGTTTCTGTGTCATCCCCAGACTTTAAACCACCCAGGAGCCTTGCACAGGCCACATAAATTAAAAGGAAATGATTCTCATCTTCAAATGATTTTTGGCATTCCCCTCCTTCACACACTGGCTTAGCAAACATCCACTGGGCAATGGGTAAGTAGGATGCACAAGTAAGACCTGGTCCCCAAACTGCAGGGATCCCACAAGAGCTTTCAAGGCATTTTACAGACAGTGGAAGGTGTGTGCAGGGGGTTTATCACCACGGCTTAAAGCACACACCTAGCGCTGCAGGAAGTTCGCTCGACTCCACTCTCCTGCCTCCGGGCCTTTGCTCCAGCTGTTGCCGCTAGGACTGCCCTTGCTTGTTTCTCCCCTGTTCAATCCTGTCTGTCCTTGGAGGTCTGGCTGAAATGCCAGCTTCCCCTCCTCCCCCAGTCAGATGTGCTCCTTCTCCCTTTCCCAGTCCCCATCTTGTTCATCCAGCCCCCAGCTGGGTGCTGAGAGTGCCTGCATGCTCCCAGGAGCCTGCACAGGGCAGGGGGTGAGGAAATGGGAATTGTGGTGGGCAGGGCTGGGGCCAGCTTCCTGTGAGCCCCTCTGCAGTTTCCAAGGAGCAAGGACAACAGCCCAAGAGGCGCAGGTTTGAAAGCCCTCGGCCTGCCCGTCCTCACTTATTACAAGCCTAAAGTGCTGTAATTTTCCTGTCGGAAGAGATTATTTTTTCACGGTCTCTCCTCTTCTGAGCTCAGAGACAATGAAAACATCACTGAGGATGTTGGAGGGACAGATGGGCAGGCTTCATTCCTGTCAGGTGTCCTCTGATGCCAGCTCAACTCTCACCTGGGAGGTAGGCCCATCCTGGCTGGCAGGAGGGCAGGGGATAGGGATGCCAAAGCAGGATTGGAGGGGGCACATGCCATGTGGTGGGGAGAGTAAGGGGGAGATACTTCTACTGGAATTATAGACTGCATTTGAATTTCAGGCTGAGCTTCCTGACAGCCAAGTCAAAAAGGGCAATGGGATGAGTTTCCCAGGGGGGCATTGGTGACTGACAACAGGAGATAGACGACTGCATAGGGGGCCTTGTCCTGGGCATGCAATGGAGACAGAATAGAGGAGAGCTCGGGGAGCTCTTCGTAGGTTTCCCTGAGGGACAAGTTGGAAGAACCCAGAAGTGACAGAAAGCTAACAGAGACAATCTTTTCTGGATCTCATGGGGCAGAGAGCGACTTCAGATACACCCCAAATCCTCCATGAGATCAGACCTTAACGTCATTCACTTGGTGAGAGTCTGCCCCCCCATGGTGGGCTGCCTCTGGTCCTGGGCAAAGTGGGGGTCCTGCCCCAGCCACAGAGCTGACGCTGCCTTCTTGGAAGTGTGGGGTCTAGAAAGAGAGGGAGGTGTCCTGGGCCCTGCTGTATGAGCCACACTTCACTGGCCTGCAGGTGTCAGTGCTGGGGCCAGGTAGGGCCAGGGCAGCAAAGTCTGCAGCCCAAGAGGAGCAGACAGGGACCTAGAGTAGTCAGAGACTATGATCTCTGCCCGGCTGTCCCAGGCAGAGGGAGCAGGTGCAACCCCTAAGGCCTAGCCGGGCTCGTGTGCGCAAACAGGAGCTGGAGGTGAGTATGAACTTTGCCAGAGTCTGGACTGTCTCTAGGGAGGGGGCAGAGGCTGAACGTCCACCTGGCCCTGCTGCTGCTTCGGTAGGGGCTCCTAGCATCCAGTGGAGGCAGAAGGAAGGCCCAGCTGCTTCTAGAGACGGATTCCTTATAGCCACCCTGGGCCCAGGAGGAGGGCCTGAGAGATGGGCCAAGAAGGTGGGGCACAGCAGAGATGGGATGAGAAAAGCCTCAGTATTTACTGAGTGTTGAGTTTGTAGCTAGGGACTATGAGTCCGGGAACAAACGGGAGATGAACCAGGCATCAGGGCTACCTCAAGGACTCACAGTCCAGTGGGGTGAAATTGGATGCAAGGTGACAACAGGGACAAGCTCTCAGAAGGGAAAGAAAAAGATGCCAGGCAAGGGAGAATTAGCACATGCAAAGGCCCTGAGGTGAGAAGGCGAATGATAGGAGCCAGGCGACTGGAAGGCAGAGAGGGTTGCTAATGGGTGGGAAGTGAGGCTGGAGGGGTGGAGGTGAGGGGGGCAAGGACTAGGGCGTGGTGGCGTGAGAGTGGACAGGTATGAGATGTAGGAGATAAAATAGAAAGTGGTGGTACGGGGAGGGAGAGGACGATGCCAAGAACAACTCCTGGGTTTCTGGTGTGAGCAGCCAGGTGAACAGTGGGGCCTTCACTGGGCAGGGAGCCCTACAGGAGGAGCAGGTTTGTGGGGCAGGCGCTGAGTCCAGTTTGGGACATGCTGAGGTGTCTGAGATGTGAGCTCCAAAAGGAGGTGAAGTCCAGGTGATGGGTGTGCAGGTTCCAAGCTCCGGGAGGGGTCCGGGTGGGGTGTGGCCATGAAGGAGTTGGGGGCTGGTGGGAGGTAGGAGCCTTGGTGTGGATGAGGGCAGGGTGGGGTGAGGAAAGGCCTTGCTGAGCCTGGAGGAGCTCTAATCATGAATGGGGAGGCTGAACCAAGAGATGAGCATGTCGGGAAGGACAGGATTGATGTACTTGCTGGCAAGAAGTACATTCTGTCAGAGAAGAGTCCACCCAAGGGAAAGTGGGGGTCTCCATGGCAGTTACCCCTACTCTGGTAGGAAGCAGAGGGCTGGCCTCACCTGGGTCTCACCCTCCTCCATCTCTTACCAGCCATGTGGCCAGGGGACAGTTTCTTCACCTCTCTGACCCTAGTGTATCTCCCCGTAAAATGGAGATAGTTAAGGTACACCCTCCCCCTTGCACAGTTGGGAAGATTAAATAATTTTGGCCAGTGGCATCAGTAGGACCTGGAGGTGTGTTGAAGCAGAATGCTGGGCCCAGAGTTCTGCTTCATGGGACCTGAGAATCTGCATTTCCAACAAGCTCCCAAGAGCCACTGGTTTAGGGTGAGGTGTCTGGCATTAAGTAGGTCCCCACAGTTCTCCCCCAGACCTGGATCGCCGTAGGTCCTGCCAGGTTGCTGCTCCTCCTAGGGTCTCAGTTTCCCTAGTTGTCCCTTGAGAGGAGAGAGGCTCCTGCGGAGACTGCCTTGCAAGGGCTGCTGCTCAGGGCTGCCTGGGGGCGGGGGGGTGGTCTCATGCGGCCACATGGACACCAGGGGGCAGGCAAGCTGCTCTGTAGAAGGAGGTGCCGGCCCAGAACCGCAGTCCGGGGGCAGCAGCAGGATGTGGCGTGGCGCCTGGAGACCTGGTGCAGCTCTGTGTGGCCCCGGGAAGCGTGGCCATCCTCTGGCCTCAGTTCCCCTATCCTCCTTGATTGACTGCGGCACCTCAGGTGTCCTGGTCGTGAGGGAGCCACTGAGTCTTTTACCTCCTAGTTTAAGGGGATACAAACGCAGGCGGAGAATTTTACCTCACTCTTGGACCCAGTCTGCATCTGCCACACGCCCATTTCTTTGTGCGTTTGTAGACTGGGTGCCCATGGGCCCACACTGGGGGAGCCACAGGCATGGACATCCATCACACGTGTGCTCCTGAACATGAGTATGCTCCTTATGCCCACAGGCTGCGGTGAGGGGTGGGAAGGAAGGCCAACCTACCTCACAGGGGGGCCCCTACCTGAAGTCAGGTCCTATTGGGGCTTCCCGATAAGAAGGGAGAATTTGGTTAAGTCCTTAGGGGGGCAGGTTGGGGTGACAGCTCAGGTCAGGTTGCAGGGGACTGTGGGACCCCCAGGACCTGTCCGGGTGGGCAGAAGTGGGCTCAGGGGATGGTTCTACAATAGTGACAACCTTTGTAAAGCACCTACTTTTTTAACAGGTCCTGATGGAGATTCTTCATACATATAAACTCACTTACTCCTCACAACCATGCTGTTCATGCTAGCATTATCCCTGGTTTACAGAAGGGGACACTGAGACACAGAGAGTTTAGGTAACTTGCCCAAGGTCACACACTGAGTGAGAGGCAGAGCCTGGATTGAGCCCATGCCGTCTGGTTCCAGGTCTGCTTCTAATGCATCGGGGGGTCTAGAGCAGGAATAAGCCCCTGCCCAGGTCCTGCTTGTTTCCTAGACTGGGCTTTTATGTCCCCTCCTCTCCCGAGGATGGGGAGCTCAGGCCTCTGAGTGGCCCCTGCCCCTGAGAGCCAACGGGCTAGGGAGAGGCACTCTCCACCATTGGTCCTGTTTCTGTCCCAGGACCCCTCTGCCCTGCACCCGCATCAGCCTGCACCTTTAGCTCAGGCTTCATGTCTGCCATGGCTCTGTGGGAGAGGCCCCTCAGCAGGGTTCCCAGAAGAAATACAAAATGCTCAGTTAAATCTGAATTTCAGAAAAAAAAAAAAAAGTGCTTCTTTAGGGTATGTCCCGAATGTTATTAGGGCATACGCTCTTCCTCCTCCACCAGGCCTGGTGCAGCCTCTTCCCTTCCGGCGGCTCTCACTGGTGCCCCCTCGGAAACCCCCTCTGGAGATGACAGTGCCCACATCTCTGCTCCTGACCGGCTCACCCTGCTGCCTCCTGACCCCAACCTCAGTGCGCCCTAAAGTAAACTCCCTCATTTCCCCTCCTGTCCCTCAAACCTACTTCCCTCCTGGTGCCCCACTCAGCCCCCCAAGATAGAGATGGGGAGGAGCCTCTGGCCATCCTCACCTGTGCATCCTGTCTGTCCCATCCAATTAGCCAGCCCGCTAAAGCCCCTCACATCTCTCCCCTCCTTGTGATCCTGCCTGCTCGGGTCCCTCCCAACCAACCTCCAAAATGGCCTCTATGCCACCTGCTGAAAGCCAGCTCTGAACACTGCCTTCCCCTGCTCCACGCTGGTCCTGAGGACCCTGGGACCCTGAAGAGGGGGAGAGGCTGTGCGTGGGGGAGAGGGGTCTCAGGAAGGAGGGAGGGTCCGGAAGACAGTCTCACCTTCTCTAAGAATGCAGCCAGGAGCACACTGAGGTGGGGGCTTTGCAGACTCCCTCTTCTCCCACTGGGGGAGCTGTGGTTGTTTTATAATTTCCAAAGAGAGGGCTCTGCCTTCCAGAAACCCCGTTTGGAGCACATGGATGGTCACTGTCTGGCTAGGGTACCCTTTGGTCTGGAGCAGGGAGTGTGAGCCGCTGAGGGCCTTCCTCCAAAGTCAGTCCCTGAGACCAGTGGACTCCAGGTCTGCACCGCACTCGCCTCTGACTCGGCCTTTCTGTTTTGCAGCTCCCTGAGGGCCTCCTTTGACTCCCTGAAACAGCGTAAGTCCCGACTGCCCCCACCCCAGGTCACAGGGGACAGGCCTCCGGGGAACCCCACCTCCCCCGTAGAGAGAGATGGTGACGGGTGAGCTGGGGCTGCAGCTCAGCTTTGCGCCAGGAGAATTTGGGATGGTGGACAGAAGACGAGGTTCCAGGGGCTGGAGGGGTCCAGGCAAGGGCAAGTGTGTGGGTGGCAGAGGCCCGTCAGGTCTGACGTCTCCATATTCTGCCCCAGAAATAGAGCATGTGGGCACCTCGCACATCCAACTGGCCCTGGCCCTGCGTGAGGAGCTGCGGAGCCTCGAGGAGTTCCGTGAACGGCAGAAGGAGCAGAGGAAGAAGGGGGGGGGGGGGTGCTGGTGAGGGGAGGGCATCTCCCCATCACAGGGCCCCAAGTGCGAGGTTGCTGTCATCACCCAAGGGGATGATGGGCCCTCCTGACAGACCCTATACGGGGCAGCTGGGATGAGCCTGGGTGTTCTGGCCAAACCCATCCCCTCCGTGCCTCAGTTTCCCTTTTGCAAGATGGGACACATATGCCCATGTCCCAAGCTTTGGGGGCCCAGCCCAGAACCAGGCCTCTTGAGTGTGCACAGGTGGGGCACTGGCTCCAGTTAGTGGCTCTGGTCACAGAAATTCTGTGACTCTGGACACAGAAAGTCTGTCAGGCCAACCGAGGCCTCAGGCTTTCAAGATTCTAAATTTGGATTCCACGGAAAGCAATGGGTCCCCAAAGCCGGCACCTTCTGAAGTGGGACTTGCCCACAGAGCACTTGCCGTGACAGGCCTGCTATTTTGAGCTCTCCTGTGGCAAGAAGAACGTCAATGTCCGTTGAGCTGTTGAGCGGCCAGGGCCCTGCAAGTAGAGAGCCTGTGACGTAGTGTGGTGAACCTGTGTGGTTGGCACGTGTGTGCATATACGTGCGTGTGTGCAGACAGCACGGGCACATCCGTGAGCATGTGTCCTTGTCTGGCTTTGTGTGTCTGTGCCTCTGTGACAAGGTGGCTTGCTGAGGTCCCCCACTGAGACCCCAGCACAAACTGGCTCCAGCCCCAATTCGAGGGGCGTTTCATTTCCAGTTCTCCTCATACCTTATCACCCAGTCTCTCTCCAGGCTGAGTTTCATCTTCTCTCTGGGAATAAGCCCAGGAGGCCAGGTGTGCCCATGAGTATGTTTGGTGCACGTGTGTCATCTGTGAGCAGCCTGTGGTTGTGCAAGCATGAGCATGGGAGAGTGGACTCGTGTGTACACGTGGGTGCATCTGTATAAGTGGGTGTGCATGAAGGCCTGTGTAAGTGTGAGCAGCTGGAAGTGTGGGGGCCTGTTAGTGTGCACTTCCAAGCATCGTGGGGACTTTGCATGCACACGTGGATCACCGTGTGTGTGCATCTGTTTGTGGGTACAGGGACTAGTGACGAAGGACTGTGTGTGAGTGTGTAGGTTGGATGTTTCCTGGCTAGAGACCAAGTCCTGCTTGGGGTCTGCAGGAAGAAGGGCATGGTGGGCATCACTGGGCTTCTCTTTAGCTCTGTTCTGAGCAGTTTTCGGGAGAGGGAAGGCATTCTGACCCTCAGAGCCAGGGGATGCTGTGCCTCATCCCAGGAACACTCGTCCTCTTGGCCTAGGGGAGCGTCCTGAGGCTGCGGCCCCCTGCTCAGAGCCTTGTGTCCCCTACAGTATGAGGCTGTCATGGACCGTGTCCAGAAGAGCAAGCAGTCACTCTACAAGAAGACAATGGAGGTGAGTGCGAGGGTCTGGGGCCTCTCCTCGGTTGAGGGCGGCAGTGTTCAGGGCGTGGTCCCCAGGGGCCCTGGGCTGGAATCTGGGACGGGGCTTGCCTCAGCACTCTGCCAGCCACATATACGGCGGCCTTCTCGGTGGCTGGGGCTGCACTGGGCACCAACGTCCCAAGTGGATCAGCCAGGCCCTGCCCTTGGGGGACTGATGGGCAGATTGATTGTCCCAGACAGTGGTCCACGGGTAATCCACTTTGTCAGCTGGGGACTCCGGGATGGAGGGAGGAGGGACTTCTGAGCGGTGCCCCATAGGGCACTGGGCAAGAAGGGAAAACAGTGCTCTCTGAGAGAGACCCGCACGGGCAGAGGCTCAGCAGCGTGAGGATGTACGCCACTTTCAGGGACCTGCAGCGGTTTGTTATGACCACACCGCCAAAGAGGTCGGGGCCACGGGCAGAGCACAGTCCCCAGTGGGAAGGGGCCTGGGGATGAGACTTTGCCAGCAGTGCCCACTCCTTCTCCATCTCCATTCCAGACCCCTAGATCCCTGTCCCTGGCGGGGATACCCCCACGCCACCCATAGCACCCCAACAGGGAGAAAAGAGATTGATCTCAGGAAGCCTCCCTCTGAGGAAAAGGGTAGGGCTGTGCAGCTCCCCAAGTCTCTCCCTCCACACCCCTAGTCCAAGAAGACATATGAGCAGAAGTGCCGGGACGCGGACGATGCCGAGCAGGTCTTTGAGCGCATCAGTGCCAACGGCCAACAGAAGCAGGTGGAGAAGGTGCGTGGGGCCACTGGCACCATGTGGTGTCACCCAGGGCTGGCGCAGGGTGAGGTGGCTTGGAGAGGGTGCTACACACACTCCCCGGAAAGGCCTGCTTCTGGGGCCTGCTGGCTTCTCACCTGGTTCACCACCCTGTACCCTCTCTGGGTCTCAGTCTCCCCATCTGTGGAATGGGGTGCCTAGAATCTCAGGGCATGGACAGATGAGGCCAGCTTGACCCCCTTTGCTATCTCCAGGCTGCACCCCAGGCCTCAGTCCTCAAGGCAGGTCCACTGTGGCCTAGGCCAGAGCTCACAGGGCAGAAAGCAGAAGCTACAACCACCCCAGACCACTCCCCCAATCCCACCCACTACCTCACTGAACCTCACACAAGCCTTGGAGAGGGGCTCTGTAGGCCCGTGTCACGGAGAGCACACTGAGGCCCAGAGACAGGGGGCATCTTGCCCCAGGTCTTGGAGCCAGGATGCAGCAGAGAAAGGATCCAAACCGAGGCCTGTCCAGAGCCCGAGCTCTGACCTCCAGGTGCACCAGGGACAGCCTCCCTTGGCCCAGGCTGGGTGGGGGTGTCAGAGCCACCAGGGCCCAAGAACACATGTCACCCAATGCACAAACAGAGAAGCTGAGGCCCAGGGCCTGAGGGTGAGTTGGGGCACTCAAGGCAGGGCTCAGAGCCTGGGTCCTGGCCAGAGGATTCAGCAGTGGCCATGTAGGGCCATCAGCCTGGCCCCTGGTCTACGTTTCTCCCTTAGGTCTTGACATCTAGTTTTTAATCTGTATCTTTATGGGCTGGAGGTTTCTGTTCTTATTCCTTTTTACTGGAACCAGCCTGGTGTCTTTCATGGGGTGAGGTTGGCAGAAAATGATAGAATCTGTCCACAGCTGGTTCCTGAGTGTCCCCTGGGAGGCTGGGGAGGGAGTGACAGAGTCACTTTGGAGTGGCCCCAGGGCTCCAGGGCTGGGGTGGGTGGGCCCTGGTTCCCTGGGTGGTGGCAGGGGCTCAGTGCTTCTTCTCTGTCTCCTCAGAGCCAGAACAAAGCCAAGCAGTGCAAGGACTTGGCTATGGAGGCAGGTACGTGGGCCTGCCTGCCTTCTCAGACCTGGTTTGTGGCCCGGCCAGTCCTTCCCTCTACATACTTCCTAGTCCTGGGGACACTTACACTCACACGCCCAACTATACAGAGTTACATGCATGTCACACTCATTTCCATATTTCTGCAATTAAAACACGTGTTTTCCCATTTGTGAAGACTGTTCTTGGTGCTTTACATGTTTTAACTAATCCTCGCAATGATCCTATAAGGTAGGTACAATTATTATCCCCCCACTCCTTTTTTTTAGTAGATGAGGAAATTGAGAAACAGAGGGTTAGATAACTTGCCCAAGGTGACTGCAGTTTAACTCAGGCCAGTCTGGTTTCAGAGCCCAGGACTTGGGAGACTTCCATGCCATCCGTAGGAGGCAGACCCATTCATACCTCTCCTTCACACACACATGCGCACACTCTCACAAACTTGCACACACACTCAAATTTCACATGCACAGCCTTCTCTGGGCCTCGGTCTCCTCCATCCTTCACCTGATGCCAGAACCCCCCAGCATGCCCCGTCCCCGCTAGCATACCCCTCCTCCTTTCCCCCAGGAAAGCTCTCCTTGCTCTGCCTCTCCCAGGACATGGCTACTCTCCTGGTTGGGAGCAGGTGACCCCAGAGATCTGGGGACGGGGGTCATGACCCAGCCTGTGTCCCAATGCTCCTGTTGCTCCTTCCAATGTACTGCTGCCCTCTCTGAGCCTCACTTTCCCATCTGGGAAGTGAGGAGTGGGACCCGGGGATGGTGAGAGGCCTGGACTCTGAACATGTGTCAGTGTGTCTCCATGGCAGCCCTTGGCAGCTCAGAGCAGAGTGGGGAGCTGGGTCACCCTGGGAAGAGCAGGATGAGAAGGGCAGCCCGCCACCATTCCGATGACGCACCTCCCAGGGTCAGGGCAGGTCTCTCGGGGAGGCAGGGCTCCAAGGATTTGGGAGGAGAGTTCAGAGGTGTGGAGGAGCCTGTGTTTGGGGTGTCGGGGGGGTGTCTCAACCGCTCGGTCTGTGCTTCCAGATCGGGTGTACAAGCAGAACATTGAGCTGCTGGAGAAGGTGCGGGTTGAGTGGGAGCAGGAACACCGGACCACCTGTGAGGTGAGCGAGCCAAGTGTGGAGACTGTTTCCCAGCTGCAAAATGGGGACAAGTCTACCCTCCTCTTGTGCTTCATGGAGGACACACGAGGCAGTGGTGGGGAAAGGAATCATTCATTCACTCACTCATTCACTCGTTCGTCCACTCACTAGCCAATTCATGGTGCACCCACTCCTCACCAGGCCCTGTGCTGGGTCCCTGCCCCCGTGGTGCTCACCACCTGCTTTGTGCCTGGGTCCTTTTGTCACAGACCGGCTTGGGAGTCTTCACCCCTTTTTTGCTGAAATGGAGGCTCAGACAAATCTGTAGCTTCCCTGGGCCCCTGACGATGGGCAGGGCCCGGGAGACAGGCCTCAGGACCCTGGGCCCAGTGCCCCTCTCACTACCCCCCAGGGCCTTTTCCAGGGTGTGGCGGGTCCGGAGGGAGAGGGCAGGAATCCCATAGGCAGCTCAATCTCCCTTCCCAGAAGCCTCAGGGGTTGGCACAGAGCTGGGGGTGGAGGCCCATAGGGAGGGTCTTGTCTTTAGACTTGGCTTTCAGCAAAGAGGACTGGTCAGCCCTATGTGAGCTGTGGGTGGGGCCCAGCTGTCCTCATGTCTCACTTCGCCAAACCCTTCAGGCCTTCCAGCTGCAGGAGTCTGACCGGCTGATCATCCTGCGCAACGCCCTGTGGGTGCACTGCAACCAGCTCTCCATGCAGTGCGTCAAGGACGATGAGGTGGGGGCTGGGGCGGTTGGGGAGAGGGCCACAGTGCGGTCAGGTGGTAGGCCCATCTGAGTCAGTCAGCAAGCACCTCGTCCTCTGTGGGCAGGCCATGGTACTGGGTCTCAGACCACAGGTGCTCAGCCTCTGCTCCACTGCCCCAAGGGCAGGAGCTCAGCACCACATAGGGCCACCAGCTTCTGTGCCTGGAAGACTTCTTCTTTGCCCCCTCCCCAAGTTACCTGGCTCTGTCCTCGGAGCCACAGAGCACCTGCTTGCTCTGCCAGGGAAGGGGCAGGGGGTACGTGGACCCAGCCCCTCAGAGGTTTGCAGACAGGCTGGAGGACCCCGGCTGCTCTGCTCCAGCCCTGGTGCTTATAGGAGCCGAGGTCCAGTCCTTGCTCTGCCCCCAGACATCTCCAGGGTGTCCTGGTTCCCCTGACTGGGCCCCATATGTCCTCCCCAGCAGACAGGGGCTGCCACTCCCACCTCCTCACCCCTACCTAGGGCCCGGACCTCCGGTAACGCAGCCCCAGAGCTGTGAGCTCTCTCTCAGGGCAGCTCTGGCTCCCTGATGCCCACTGCTCTTCCTTGTCTGCCCCCTCCTGCCCGTGGGCTGTGCGTTTCTTTCTTCCCAAATGACTCGAGCTTCTCTGGTGGCCTCCATGGGGCACAGTGGGTGTGTGGACTCTGGTTTCCCTTGTACTGGGATCCAACACCCGCTGCACTGCATTCTTGCTGTGTGACCTTGGCAAGTCACATTCCTTCTCTGAGTTTGCTCACCTGTAAAATGGGGAAAACAGTGTCTACCTTGGAGAACAGGCGAGTTAAGTCCCTTTCGTAGGGCGTTGTGCACAGTAGGTGTTCAGGAAGTAGGAGAGGCTAAGCTATCAGCCAGGGCTCCGGCCCCTCAGGCAGGTCTGGGGCAGTTACGTGCCAAGGTCCCTGAATACAGGGGCTGAGCTGTGTGCCAGGCCTGGAGGAGGCTGGTGGGGTTGGGGTGGGCCCCTGGGTGGAGTTCAGACCCATGAGGAGCAGGGCCTTGGCTGAGGTGGGCTTCGAGGTGAGGCCTGGCCCACAGCCTTCCTTCTTCCCTCTCAGCTCTACGAGGAGGTGCGGCTGACGCTGGAAGGCTGCAGTGTAGATGCCGACATTGATGGCTTCATCCAGGCCAAGAGCACGGGCACCGAGCCCCCAGGTGAGGCCAGCTGTCTCCAGGAGGCCTGGCCATGGGTTCTCCAAGCCTCAAGTACAGGACACGGCTGGGGTGGCTCTCAGCTGCCTCTGTGTGCAGGAGCCTTGGCCATTCCAGGGGCAGGGGTGGGGGACAGGGCAGTCCTGTGGCTTGGGTCTCTTGCCTACTGCCTCCCAGAGGCAGTGGACAAGCAGAGCCAAAGAGTACTATAAGGCTCAGAAGGTAAGCGTCCCCCAACCCCAGCTGCCAGGATGGGCCAGGGCCAGAATGGGAAAGTGGGGCCCCAGCCTAGGTCTCTGGGTGGGAACAGGTTGGGGTGTCGGGTAGCATGAAGTGTTGCCTGCCCTGCCCTCTGGCGCCCGGGCCTCACAAGCTTGCTGCCTGCAGCCCCAGTGGCCTACATGAACTACTACGATCGAGAGGTGGCCCCGTCTGGCAGCCCTAACACACAGACGTCCTGCGGTATGATAAAGAGGTGAGCGCCTGGTGGATGTCAGCCACCACATGCAGAGGCTGGGCCACAAGGACAGGCCAGAAGTGGGTCCCGCCTCTCCACCTGCAACCGGCTCATCCTACACATTTACTGAGCACCTACTGTGTGCTTGGGACAAGACAGGCTCAAACCAGTCTCGTGGAGCCCCCGGGCCGAGGACCCAGGCATTAAACAAATAACCATACCCCAGTTATTCACTGGTGGCTCTGCTCAGAACTCTGGGGACACTTCCTTGTTCTTTGGGCCGTGCTCCTACCCTTGGTGCCCTGTACCGTCTGGCTGTGGTGGCTACGCTCTACAGCTGGTAGGGGATCTGGGGCATGGGGGCAGAGGCCAGAGAATTCTCCAGGCTTTTCCAGGGCCCCTGCCCTGGCCTAGTTGTGATCAGGTGGCAGGGTCCTACTGCCATGCCTCCATCTGTTAATGGGTGTGTTGTACACCCTCTCTAGGTCCCTGGGCCTATAAGTGGTGGGTCTGACTCAGGACCTAAGAACTCTCCTGGTTCAGGCCTTGAGTGACAGTGGTGACAGCGCCATAGCCTGCTCAGGGAGCCTCCCAGCAGCCAGGTCTCTGAGGGGGCCATGTACCCTGTCTATGGGCATCTATGAGCAGATGTGGGTTTCATGTGGTGCCTGGGCCCCCACCCTCAAGGCCTCCATGACCTCCTCTCTCCGGCCAACCTCAGCAAAGAGCTCATTCCCAAGGCCTCAGGAGCCCCTGGAGCCATCCTGAAGGAAGGCTGGCAGGAAGCAGAAGTTCATAGGAATCAGGGGTGCACAGCACAGCCCTCTGACGACCTCGTGAAAGCCGTGACTTCAGGAGGCACATTCACACCCTCACAATGTTATAAAAACCTGGAGACTCAGGTCTCCCTGCACCCCAGGTGTGGACCTGGATCTCAGCAGAGGTGGTCGTTTAAGCAACTGGATGAAAGAGCTCACCTTGGGCAGCGTCAAGAAAAGACAGAAAGGGGTGTCTCATGAGGATAAAAGAGAGGGAGAGAGGCTGTAGGAGCATGACCATTGCAGGGGACAGTCCGGGCTACTGGATGGGACAGCCAGAGCAAGGCAGGGTTGGAGGAGCTGGGGGCGGGGGTCAGCAGCCGACAAGCCAGGAGAGGGGAGGAGCTGGCGTCAGTAATGAAGACCACTCTGGGGGAAACAGTGCAGGTGGGGAGGACTGTGGGGGCTTGGAGTGTGGGGGAGGCAACACTACGGCCTCAGCAAGCAGAGACTGTGGGCCCCTCCCCCTCCCCTACACTGGCCGCTCAGCTCTTCGCATCCAAAGCGCCTCTGCCTTTACCCGGGCCCCTGGCTGTCCAGGGGGGCCAGGGTGTGCATCTGCACGTGCCTGTGTTAGCATTAGCCCTTCTCACGTGGGCCCAGCTCCATGCTTGGTGCCCATGTGTTTCCGTTCTGGGCATATGTGTCCACTCACAAACGCACTGCGGGCGGTGGGGGGCGGGGGTAGATTCTCCTGCCTGTGGGCAGGCAGACCTTCCTCTCTGGGTTACCCGCCCCCCGGGCTGGTCAAGGCCTAGGACCCTCGGTGGATGACCCACAGCATTCACAGGAGCTGATCACACATCTCCAGGGCCTGTCAGGAGAGGAGAAGCCCGGTGCCTGAGCCCCTGGCCTTCCTGGCAGTCTGGGCAGGCCCTCTCCCTCTCCCCAGCCCTGTTCCTGCCCCTAACCGCCTTCAAAGCCCCTGAGGACAAGACCTGAGGGGCAGGTAGAGGAGGTGGGGTGGGGGCTGGGCTGAGGGTGCTCACCCTGGCTGCTCCCCTTTTGGGGACCCAGATCTCATGGGTTCTTCTGACTAGGAACCCCAGCCCTCAGATCAGGGGCCGCAGCAACAGGCCCTTCATGTCCCTCACCTCACTCTGGCACCATTACAGGGCAGCCTCCCACAGGCCCAGGGCACAGCCCAGCCCCTCACTCGGGCACTCAGAGCCTCTGGCCTAGCCCCCTTCCAGGCATGTCTCCCACACAGCCCAAGCTGGCCTACCGCACTCCCCAAACTCCACCGGTACAGTCCCTCTCTGCACCTTTGCATCTCCCCTCCCATTCACCAGCAACACCGGCACCCAGGCTCTGTTAATGCTTCACTCGTCTTTGAAGACTTAGTTCAGCCCCACCTCCTCCAGGAAGCCTTCCCTGAGGCAGGGAAGTAGCATCAGCCTCTACTTATTTAGCCCTTATTACAGACTGCTTCACGGGGCCCCCAGTGTCTGCCTCGCGTTTGTTCTGTTCTTTACTTTTATCCAACAAACCTCCATGACCCCGGCTCAGGCCAGGCCAGTTGCAGGGGCAGGGGTGCGGCCTGGCGCTGCTTCCGGGAACTCACGTGCACACCGAGGACCGCCTTTGGTATGGTCAGGAGGTGGCTGAGCTGGCTCGGACGCAGTGGAGCTTCGAGGAGAACTGGCTCAGCCTAGGCTGGCGAAGAGCATGCATGAGCCGAGCTTAGAAGGGCAGCCCATTTGCCCGTAGGGAGGCTGTCAGGACACTGGATAGGAGCCTAGTGGGTGTGGGGACCTGGGCATCATCCCAAGGCTGCAGCATGGAGGTCTTAGAACCCCCAGAGCAAACCCCGGGGCCCCGCAGGGAGCAGGTGCTGAGATTAGGTCTATTGAGTGAAGGGGTGGGAAGGTGTGCTGGGAAGGCAACGTGCACTGGGATCGCCCTGTGGGGAGCCCTTGTGCCTGAGGAGCACCCCATAAATCACCTTGGTGCCTGAGCCCTGAGAGAGAGTCCTAGGGGCTGAGGGGGCTTCCTGCCTAGCCCCGTCCCTTCCAGGACTCACCCTCTTTCCTCCCTATGGCCAGGTTCTCCGGGCTGCTGCATGCAAGTCCCAAGATGGCGTCAACCACAGCTCCTGCCGGTAACTGTGTGTGATGTGGGGCCAACACACTGTGACCCCAGGAGGAGGAGATGACTCCTACATGGCACAGATGGGGCCACTGAGGCCCCAAAGGGGCAGGGGTGTGTCCTCCAACAGCAAGTGGAGAAGGGAAGGCGAGAGGGCAAGCCAAGTCTTGGGAAACTCCACCGTAGAGGGGCCTCCAGGGGGCAAGGGGTTTGGAAAGGGGCAGGGTCTAGACCTCATTCTGCTCTCAGCCTCCAGAGAGACCCCGACCCCCACCCCCGAGAAGAGTGACGCTGTCTACGCTGCCATTGCAGTGCAGGATGGGTTGAGAACCCCCACCGCGCCAGCGCAGGACTACAGGGCTCTCTATGACTACACAGCGCAGGTGAGCCCCTCGCCCACCGCAGAGCCACCTCCTGGTGCCCTATGGGGCCTCCTGGACCAGGACATACACCAGGGGCCGGGGAGGGACAGGTCACTGTAGGAGTGGGGGCTGACATTCATCTGAAGATGGGTGTGTATCCATGAGAATGACACTGTGCATGTGTGTGCCTGGGTCTGTGTGCACACAGACGCGGGCACCTGTGAACGTGCTTGGGGTGTGTGTGCTCAGAACACAGCCAGCCCCTAGGGGTGCTCAGGGAAGATCTGCTGAACGAAGGCTGATGAATAAAGTGCCTGTGTCTGCTTGCATCGGTATGTGTGCATACACGTGGGGCACGTGTGACTGTGGTGTCCACGCAGACAGGCATTGTGTGCCTGTGTGTGTATGCGTATGTGCAAACATGCACTCGTGCAGGAAGACTGGCAGAGTCTGGGGCCACCTGAGGGTCACGCTCAGGGTCAGGACCTTGTTCTCTGTGGCCACGGCCAGAACGAGTCCTTCAGCTGTGCTGGTGTGGATCTTCTGAAGTCCACAGGGAGAGGACGATTCAAGACCGTCACAGGGCAGAGCGCCCTGGAGAGTCCCACCTGCTCCCTACGGTGAGGGGAGGGGTGCATCCATCTGGCTTGAGGCCAAGAAGCCCCAAAGGGCAAGGCGGGCTGGGCGGGGGCAGCAGTGGCAGAGGCTGCGGCTCTAGGGTGCACATCAGCAAGCCCAGTCTCCAGCTGGGGAGACAGGCCAGGAACAAATGATGGTGGGCTAGCCAGGGCGGGGAAGCTCTAAGGAAGGCTTCTCCGGGGGATGGGCGGCACCAGTGAGGGGCTGTGTGTGGCGAGCCCTCAGTTGACAGCGTGCCCTTGGGCTTGGGGCATGGCGGGCACACCTCACCTCCGAGTGGCTGTAGTCACTGTGTGTCTGCTGCTGAGCGTGGGAGTCGGAAGCAGCAGGGAAAGAAGGCCAGGTTGTGGGGGGCCTACAGTGACAAACTGGAGGGGGGTGAAGGCTAAGTTCCACGGGGTGGCCCACATCCTATATGTCTCCAAGGGACGGCCCCAGCTCAGCCCAGGGTCCTCCCAGCTGACCCCTCCAGCCCAGTGTACTCTGAATCTCTTGCACAGAATCACGACGAGCTGGACATCTCTGCAGGGGACATCCTGCAGGTCGTCCTGGAAGGGGAGGACGGCTGGTGGACAGTGGAACGGAATGGGCAGCGTGGCTTTGTCCCTGGTTCCTACCTGGAGAAGCTTTGAGGAAGGGCAGGAGCTCCCACCTGGACCTCCCCCGCCCGTGGAGCCAGCAGTGCCCCCACCACTGCCCTGGCCTTGCCACGGCCCTAGAACCGAGCCTTCTTGCCCTGGGGACGGATGCTGGCCACTCCCTATGGAGTCTCTCCCACAGGGAATAAAGAAGTGCCTTCTATTTCTCCTTGGCCCTGTTCTCTTTCTCCTGCTCCAGTGTCCAAGTGCTCAGGTTAGAGGGGGAAAGGAGCCAGGGGAGATGTCTGGGAGAGAAGATAGGAGGGCCCCAACACTGCCAGCACAATAGGCCAGCAGTCATCCAGGCTGAGCTCCCCCTCCTGCCCGGGGACTGCAGGGCAGTGGCAGGGCTAGGGGTGCAGCTGGAGGGACACATTGGTGCTCCTCCGCTGGCCATGAACTAACTGAAGAAACCACTTGTTGAAGGGTCTTAATTGTCCCCAGTAGACCTTCTTTATCTGGTTTGTTAATTCACTTTGAACCTCTGGACCATCCTCATCTGGACACAGCTCTGTGCTAGGCCCAGTGAGGACAAGGTCAGTAAAGCCTCAGCCCCTTGCTCTATTTAAGGAGCTCTTAACCTGGCTGAGGGGACCAAACAGCCCAGAAAGTTACACAACAGTACAGAAAATGTCCCAGCTGCAGAGCAGGTACAGAGGATTCTGGGAACAGGTGGCCCTGGACCAGGAGGAAGCTGTGTCAGGATAGGAGAGGGGAGACTTCATGCTGCTCCTTCTTGCTTCTGGCAGCTCCACAATGGGCATGTGTCAGAGAGAAGTTGAATGAGGGTCATCACTGGAATTCCCCAGAATTCAGAAGAGACTGTGAGAGAATCCAATCTCCTGCAGGATGCCCTCCCTGGCACTCCTGGGGAACTGAGCCCTGGGCACTCCAGTCTGCTTTGACATCTCTGGTGACAGGGAGCTCATCACACCCCATGGAACCCCGCTGTGGACTTACGGCTTCCCCTACTGGTCCTGGCCCTACCTGGCCAGTCGCCCACCTGACAGTCGGCATGTGAAGGACGACTCTCTGTGCCCAGGCAAACAGCAGATGCCACAGGTGGCAAAAATGAATCCTTTTGACCAAGCTCTGCCCTAGGGAGAGGACAAGGAAGGAGCCAGGAGAATGGTCTCTCCAGTCAAAGGGGGCTGCTCCAGTGTTCAGTGCAGACGCTCACCTTCATCACTTGAGCAACAAAGTGGGTTTGGTTAAGCAAACATTTGGGGAGGGAAATTGCCTCCAGCTTGTGGTCTCTCACCCCAGTCTCTGGTGTGTGAGCCTCTCAAGTCTACAAGCTAATGCAGTGAAAGGGTTGTTTTATGCCAAAGTGTTATTCATGTTGGGGCCCGGAAGAGGTGTTAAGGCCTGAGGCAGGCCCTGGGGGATGGGTACAGGGGCCCAGGAAGCAGGGTTCCAGAGCTGAGGATGAGGATAGCCGCTCGCTGGGTCACCTGTCACCCTTCCCACCAGGTGGGTGTGAAGCCAGAGGGGCAGAAAAGGCTTTGGACCTTTAGGGGGAAAAATAATCAGACTGAGGTTTAAATCCTTCCTGAAACGTCATTTTCCCTCTTAAAGCGCATTCAGAGAGAGCTGACCAAACGCCCACATCTGTCCCAGACTCACCTGAAGTCTAGAAACAAGGTTGTTTGGAGAGGAAAATGTAACCTGGTGGTTGGACTTACACTTCCTTGAAAGACAGAGAGCAATCTGTGAATAAAGACTTGGCTGTAAAAAAGCTTACCTGGGACCAAAGATACTGTCTGAGACATGCATGTCAAGCCCAGCCAGGCCCAGCCAGGTACCAGACTGTCAGGCAACCCCAGAAGTAACTCAACTGATATTTTGATGACTTCTGTGTGACTGGCACTGTATTTGATAAGCAGTGGTGCTAAGATAAACGGGTGCCCTCAAAGAGCTCGCTTATCCCAAACAGGGTAGGCAGACACTCTGTGTTGTTGTTAGGTGCCGTTAAGTCGATTCTGACTCATAGCGACCCTACAGGACAGAGTAGAACTGCCCCATAGGGTTTCCTAGGCTAAAATCCTTACAGTAGCAGATTGCGAGGTCTTTCCTCCTGTGGAGTGGCTGCTGGGTTCAAACTGCCGACCTTTCTATTAACAGCCAAGGGCTTTACCCCCCTATAACCCTCTGACACAAGGCAGGCAAGCAACAGTGCACGAGTAGGGCAGGGAGGCCAGGTTCAGGCTGTCCAACACAGAGATGGCAGTGGCTTGCTTGGGAAGTGGCAACTGGGAAGGAAAGTTGAGCAATTCTGGAGGAATGTAGGAAGCAGAAGGACAGGACCTGGTAACTTATGGGATGTGAGAGACGGATGGGGAAGAGTGGAAAGGGAGGAGGTGAGGAGTGACTCTGAGCTGAGCCTTGAAAGATGGAGAGGCCTTCCCCAGGTGGAGGGTGGGGGGCAGGGGAATCAGCAGAGACAAAGCCTGAGCAAAGACCCAGAGGTTAGACAGCCTTGGGGCAGGAGCCTGCAAGATGCAGCTGAGGCGGGGGGTGGGGTGCAGAGCCCAGAAGCAGCAGGACAGCCAAGGAGACTGAACACCGGGTCAGGTTCTGTGTGGGCAGTGAAGAGGAAAGAAAAGAGTAGAAAGCTAGCTATCAATGCTTTATTTATTCTCTGAAAATACCTTGTCATCTTGACTGAGCATTCCATTCCACTGCAAAGATTTTTTTTTAAAAAACCTTTGGCCTAGATATTTATCATCATCTCTGACAGGTGCTGCAGTTTCTAGGGCCCTGGAGGATGATGGGCAACTAGTGTTAGATAACAAAGCCTGTGCTCCAGTCATTCAGGAAGCCAGAAAGGAGAACTGAGAGCAACTGTCAGGTCACAATTTATACCAGGGGGAAAAAAAAAAAAAAAACAACCCCACAGAATGGATCCATGTCGGATCCACTCCCTCTGCAGCTTTCTTCACTCTCCTGTGCACCAGGTCACCACCTCAGCTGCTGGGGACCGACTGCATGGACGGCTGGCCTTCCCAGCAGAGGAGATGGTGCCAGACAGAGAGGAAGCTGGCGTGTGTGTAACTGGGTGGATAAATAACTGCAGCCTCTTCCTGACAGCGGGCCGCTCAGAGACAGCACAGAGCAGTGGCCCTAAAGCCAGAACTCAAGAGTCTGAACCCAGGCTCACACTTACTTGTATGGTCTTAGACAAATCACAGTATCTCTGGGCCTCAGTTTCATCATCAATTAGATGGGCACAGTAAGCCTCTGGGCAAGCTGCTATCCCTGTAAGGCTCACATTAGATAATGGTACGTGCTGATGAAAAGCAAGGGGGGGCTTTTAACAAAAAGGCCCGCCACCTCCGAATGTTGGCTATAATCAACAGCAGAGCTTTGGGCTGAGCAAAATCCTCATCACTCAGCATGCCCTCGGGAGAGCTGTGGTTATGTCAGCAAGTCCTTCCCAATGGTGACAAGGAGAAGTAAGCCATCTTGGACTCATGTACCACTGGTATCCAACACCTAATTTTGACCGTCCTTCTACAGCTATTCCTAGGCCAAGCAACCTCAACATAGGTGTTTATTGGCTTGGTCTGCTTGCAACTGGAGATGTCTGCCTATTTCCCCATCCTGGCACGTGGAACTGCAGCACAAGCCCAGAACAACGTGGCCACCAGCAAGTGGGCTCCCTGCCCTGGGCACCCTGACAGGAACATCAGGACCACAGGGACATGCTTTCAAACTGTGCCCAGCAGAGGCCCTTAGAGGTCAAAGGGAGAAGCAGGGCACCCACTCCATTTCAAGCTCTACTTGTATAGTTTACATACTGGACTAGGGGTGGTTCTCAGCCTGATCACTCAGTGGAATCACCTGAGAAGTTTTTTAAAATGCTCATGTTCTGGCCTCACCTTAGACAAGCTGAAACAGCAGCTCTGAAACAGAGCTTGAGCAAAATATTTCAAACATTTGCCTGATGATTCTAATGTGCAGCCAGGATTAAGAACCTCCCGGCTAATGGGTTCTTCAGTTGAAGAGCTTGAAAACCACATTCTTACAGCACCTCAGTGACTTAAGACACTTAGTACCTCCTATGTGCCAGGTCGCTATGAGTCGGAATCGACTCAATGGCAACAGGTTTTTGTTTTTGTTTATGTGCCAGGTGCTGGAGATGTAAAGATGAACAAGTCTCTTTTCTATCCTATATTATAATTTCACATCTATTTTACTTTCTTCAGTGGCTAAACTCAGGAGAGTAGGACCTGTGTATGAGTCAACTTCCCCACAACTAGCAATGCAGTCAGCAGTGCCCCAAAAGGTATTCAGTAAGTAAATTTAGGAAATTTCTGCAAGCTCACTGTGTAATACCCTCAGGAGACCTCTGCGACACAGGCAGTAAAGAGCAACATAGAACATGCAAAGTATTTTCAAGAATTGCAAGGAGGCTGGATACAAGATCAATATACCTGAAAAGTTAAGGGCTCATACACATTAGCAATAACGAGTTAGGAAATGTATAAGGAAAATTATTCCATTCACAATAGCAACAGACATTCAGTTTCCTAGAAAAGCATTTCCCAAGTAAACCTAACTCTGTTAAGATCTATAAGACAGAAAAACAAACACTATAAAACTTGGTAGAGGATAGAAACTAGAAATTCAGTGGAGATACAAATAGCTGAAACACCCTTAAAAACACCTAGGTCTAGCCAAAAATCAAGGACATATGTATTTTCATTTGTCAGATTGGAAGAGTTAAAGGCTGACGATACCTAGTGTTAAGAGGGGTGTAGGGAAATGCACACTTACATACGCTGCTACCTGTTGCCGTCGAATTGATTCCGACTCATAGCGACCCTACGGGACAGAGTAGAACTGCCCCATGGGGTTTCCAAGGAGCAGTTGGCAGATTCGAACTGCTGATCTTTTGGTTAGCAGCCAAGCTCTTAAGGCAGTGCACCACCCGGGCTCCTCATACACTGCTAGTGGGACTATAAATTAGTATAATCTTTCCGGAGGGCAACTGAATGTATTTATGAGAAGTTTTAAACATGACTTTTGATCCAGAGAAAATCCACTACCAAGACCCTATCCTTGAGTTCATGCAAAATGCACGGGAGTAGTGTACAGAACACAACGCCGTTCACCACAGCGAGGTGAAGTCAACCCAAATGTCCATCCGCTGTAACCACTGTAGGTTGGTTAATCGTAACAGTAATACATCCTTGCAGCTAACAAAAGAAATGACATCGATTCTACAGTCTGACACAGAAAGAGTACCATCCTACGTTGTGAAGAGAAAAAGAGGGACTTGCTGAATACAACTCATATAATAACAAAAAGCAAAACCAAAAACCATCACCAAATATGTTTTTGTACATGTAGAGAAAATAGTCTGGAAGGATATACACCACTAAACTTGCTTACCTATGGGTACTGTCTGATCAATTTCTGCATGGTTTACATTTCTTAGAACACTAATTTTGCAAAAATAAATTAAAAATAACTTCAAAAAGGCAGTAATATAAGCTCTGCCAACTGTTAGGATGAGAAGCAAAGACTCCAGCAGCAACGTGCACACTTAGTGCCAGGGACCTGGGCTCCTCAGAGGAACGGCTGATCCCTGAGCTGGGGCAGGGTGGGTACCAGATCAGCCTGGGACATCTCGTTATATCTGAGATCATAGAAATGCCCCCAAAAATGTCAGGACCTGTTTCAAGGACAAAGGAGGCAACTTGAAGGGACTGCCAGTGGTTAACTCTGGAGCTATTTGAGAACTCCCTCAAAATGGACAATGAATTATACACCACAGAAAAACAGGAATCCAACAGCCCATAATGAATATAAGGAGATAAATGAAAATAAATAAATGGGGGAGAAGAGGGGAAGGGCTGCACCGTAAATAAGAAGTGTTGGATTGGAAAAACATCACTGCAATTATCTTAGTAAAAACCGAAGAACCAAGCCAGAATCAGCAACATTTGCTACACCCTGGGGTGGGGAGGGGGGTTTGGATGAAGAGCAGGGTATTTACGATCTTAAAGTTACTCCCCAGAGATTGCTTATTAGTTGGAAGGGGGAAAGGAGTAACTATCCCACGGAGAAAGTGAAAACACCTTGACCAGGTGTGCCAGTTATTCATTTATTGCCTCTTAGCTCCAAACTCACCCTTCCTTGCCCTTCCTGGTCACAATGAGGCTGGGACTTTGCAAACTACATTTCTCCTTTACTTGCAGGCCAACAGGAGGCTCTGGAGGGGAGCGCAAGGCTGGAGGAAGGAGGAGAACTTTTTCTTCTTCTGTTTCTGTCCTTGGTGTGGCACAGGCCCCAGCTGCATGCACCACAGCGGTGGTTCTCTGCTCCCCCCGCTCAGTGGTGGGCACCCTCCGGCGAGTTTCTTCTTCCCCACAGTGCAGGCTGCATGTGCCTGTGGAGGCCACACCATCTCTTCGGCCTTGCGGGGCCGTCTGTTCACTCTTCCCTTGGCCCTAGGGGTAGAAGCTGGTTTCTGCAGCTGCTACCTCTGTGATACCCTAGAGCTCTCTTTTTCACCCTTTTTTAGTCGTTAACCACCTTTACCTAGTTAACAATTCTCTATATTAAAATTTCAAAGTTCAAAGTTCTCCTCATCAGACCCTGAATGATAAAGAACCAGGTGATCATCAAGGAGGGGCAGACAGACACCGTGACCCTCCACATGCAGTGCTCTGAGAGGACACATGACCAGGTAGAATCCTAGCCATCTGGAATGCAAACCCTGAATCTAATCAAGAGGAAACATCAGATAAACCCAAAATAAGCAGCAACATATACATAAAGGGATTGGAGTCCCTGGGTGGTGCAAACAGACTACTAACCAAAAGGTTTGTGGTTTGAACCCATGCAGAGGTGCCCTGGAAGGAAAGCCTGGTGATCTACCTCCAAAAAATAAGCCATTGAAAACCCTATGGAGCACAGGTCTACTCTGACACACATGGGGTGGCCAGGAGTCAGAATCAACTGGATGGCAACTGGTTTTATTCTTCTACAATGTCAATGTCGGAAGTGACAAAACTATGGAAGAGCTCCAGATTAAAGGAGACCAAAAGAGACATGACAACTAAATGTTAATACTTCAGCCTAGAATGGATCCAGAACTAAGGGGAAAAAGGCTATAAAGGACATTATGAGGTCAAGTAGAACGCAAGTGGTAAAGTATTAACATTAAATTTGCTGAATTTGACAACTATACTATGGTTACGTCCAAGAATGTGTTTATTCTTAGGAAATACGCACTGAAGTATTAGGAGTATTTGTACAGACAAAGAGAGAGACAGAGCACATGCAAGAACACAAATGATAAATGGGTACAATGTCAACAGGTGAACCTGAGTAAAGGATATTCAGGTCTTATAAGTTCAATTTTTATTCTTGCAACTTTTCTTTAAGTTTGAAATTATTTCCAAATAAAGTTTTTATTTCAAAGAAGCAACAGGGAAAAATAATGGCAATAGGATACTGTAGTAGTTCTGGCTGCACACTGGCACCCCAGGCTACTTCACAATCTTGGGGACTCTAGGCATCTGTAGTTTTCAAAGTTCCCCAGGTGATTCACTGGGAAAGGCGGAGAGTGCATTCATCACATTTCAGACGCGAGGAGTGGCTCTTTTGCCCTCTAAAGAATAGGGTCTCAGGGTAGCACAAACTCTTGGTCTCAGCTACCTGCTGTGTGGCAGAGACCCTGGGGATGTTAAGCAGGTAGAACTTGAATTTGTATGGCCTTGACCAACATCGAGTTTCCTTTTCTAGGGGTTCCCAGGCTAGGAAAAAGGGCATTTCCAGGACTACTGTCCTAGGAACTACACACAGTTTGAAGCTGGCAGGAGCTGGAATGGCTAAACTGGCCCTGGAGCTATCACTCTGTCTTTTTGGCTTCACTGTTAACATGGCAGATCTGGTCCAGCTGACAAGAGCACAGGGCAAGCAGACGGAAATGCATGAAGGAGGAGTGTGTGGAATTAGTTTCCTGGGTAAGTTCAAGGGGTAGGATACCAATTAGTGTATTTTCTTCAAGCAATTTCCTACTCTAGGGGCCCAGTTCTGCTGTGCTGAAAGAGCTGACGGCAACCAACATCATAGTCCACCTCAGCTCCAACCCATGACAGGGTAGCCATAGGGGTGGGGGGTGGGGGGAACAGGGTTAAGGGAGGGGAATGATGATAGTAGTGAAAGGTCAGCAGCACAAGCAAAACACTCCTGTCAACTGTGCAACAGGGGGGGAGGGACAAGGGGTGGGATGGGTGAGTGCCAACATTATCAAATCCCTTGAAGCTCTCTGAAATCATGAATGTTTTGTTAACTTCCACTTTCTGAACAGGAGTTAGTTTTTCTTCCTCGTGCTTCCCACGTCTTCTCCATTTTCAGGCAGCACAGACTTGCACGACACTAGGGCATCTCAAAATCAACAGGTCCAAAGCTGAGTATGAACTCATGCCCCTAGATCTGGTCCCTACTTGCTCCCTACTAATGTTAGTAGTTGGTCCCAACTAACTCAAGTTTCCACAGTTAACCAAGCCAGAAACCTGAGACTCATCCTAGATTCCTTCTTCTCCCTGCCCCACACCCAATCAATGATTAAATGTTGCCGTTTTTTCCAATCTAAACCAACCCTGAGTCCACCTCCTTCACCACCTCCACCGACAGTACCCTACTTCTTGCCCTTAAACTCTCTCTTGAGTACAATTGAACCAATGCCTAGTAATGCCCTCTCCAATCCATCCTCTATGCTGCAGCCACAGGGACCTGTCTACAAAAGGTCTCATTACCACTATGTGCAAATCCTTTAACGGCTGCCTCTGCCTTCAAGTAAAGTCTGAGCTCCTCAGGATGCCACGTGGGACCCTAGGGGACCTTCTTTTCCCAGCTCTGTATTTTGAGCTCCAGGCACAAGGAGCTACTTGTAGCTCCCTACCCACTTTATTCCATTTCACACTCCTTTGTAACCTCTCCCACAAGCCTATTCAACCTCCAGGCTCAGTCATCTCTTCCAGGAAGCTGTGGTTAAGCACAGCTCCTATGAGCTCCCATTCTTTGATCACTACAAATCACTGCACTGTATGGAAATTATCTGCTTCTGTATATGTCTCCTACACTGGGACTCCAAACTCCTTGAAGACAAAGAACAGCATAGCACCACCACTGTATCCTCAGAGGCTTGCACACAGCAGGTGCTCATATTTGTAGGATATACTGACTGAAAAGCACCCATGGTTTCCTGAATACTAAGGCCTTTAGAACTTAGCATCAGATATAGTTAAAACACATGCAAATCATGATGAAGTACGGACAACACCAACCTTTAAAACATTACACTGCGGCTCTGGAATTCAAGTGTCCCCAAAATAATTAAAAACTACTTGTTGAAGGGTGATATAGAGTTTATTGAATTAGATTTTTCTATTTACAACTGAGATCACATCTACATACTATTTTGCTAGTCTACATGGGTACATTATTTCCAAATGAGTTTAAGACTTATGATGAATGGGCTCAATCATAAAAAAACACACACACGCTAATTGTTTTAAAACAGTAGTGCATACATACATTATACTCTTCCTATAAAGTCAGCTTTGATTAAAAACCACTAGTTTCAAAGATCAGACTCTGATTTCGAAGATGAACCAAGATATATACCATATGATTCTAAAGTCTATTTTAGCCATTTTGTACAGTTGCTATCTTATTGGACTACAGTATATATTTTTTAAAAGGACACTGATGAGGGGCACCACCTGGTGTTAACTTGAACCAGAGAGCTGACTTCCTCCCCCTCCCTCCCAAAACCTTTGGCCAAGAATTCTACATTGTGAAGACTGAAAGGGTCTGGTGATACTTCAGAATCAGTCCCATTAATGCTTGGAGGTAACAAAAGCAGGCCCACATCCTCCTTCAATTCTACCACACTACACAAACTTGCAAATGTTTCTGAAATTAGAACATTTCCGACCGTACTTAAAAACTTAGGGATGTGGAGAATCAACTAGAACAAAGGAAAAGAAAGTCATAGGTGGGAGGGTAGGCAGGTAGGTAAATGAAGAGACAAGCTGCTCTGTCCACCACCACTATACGTGTGTTTTAACTAGAACAACTCAGGAGGCCACCAGCAGCAGACCTGCTCAATCCACCTTCCAAATCAGAACAAGACTAAAAAGCTCAGGTTTGAATTTGCTACTATGCATAGGTTCCACCGGTGATGAGGAGCTCATAAGCAGGATCTCTACTCCTTCTGCACAACACGATGCATGCACACAGCATGCCCAGCAGCTGTGGGGAAGAAAACAGTGGAAAAAAGGCTGAAAACCCTCTTATGGCAAGTGTGTACTTCTATGTTGGTAACGGAGCTGTTTCAAAGTTCACTGACCTCAAATCATCAAAAAAGCAGTAACAACCTAACAGATGGAATTTCTTATGAACATGTTATTTTTTAGGAATTATCTAAATACCAAGTTTCAGCTTCCCTGCTTTACACCTGCAATGTCCAGTATGGTAGCCACTAGCCACATGTGACTACTGACCACCTGAAAGGTAACTGGTGAAATTAAGGCGTTGCATTTTTAATTTTATTTAAATTAAATTTAGATAAATGTGGCAAAGAGCTTCCATATTAGGCAGAGAAGGTCTAGGGAGTGGAATGATCAACACTCTGTGTGTTGAGGAACTTTAACAGATCTCATTAAGGGTGGTCTTTTCTGGCATCTGGATTTCACGGAGATTCAGTACATGAGTGACTAATAGCCCTAGGGTGGAAAACCAATCCTGACCCCCAAAAATCGTGAGCCTGGAGGTTTCTGTTTCTTCAGAATTACTATTTTTGAAATCTAGGTTTGGCTCTGTGGTATTACATATGCATATTACTTTTTAAAGGTCATTCTTCCTTTACCATTTTATTTTAATAAGTCATAATCCCCCTGTGGTGGAATATTAGAATAGTAATAAAGTCATGCCATGTTATCTTTGATAAGCAAGAGGATTAAGCTGGATTAAAGAGAAAATCGTTCTAGAATTTCTGATTTGGCTTCTCACAAAATATAAACAGTATAAAGGGCTCAATAAGGGCAAGTAATTTGATGTTCTAACTTTTCACTGAAGGCAAGAGTCCTCAGTTATTTGATTTTAAAAGGTAGGGTCCTCGGTTCAAACTGGGGTCAATCGAATTTCAGCAAAATGTACCCAAGCCATAAACAGATTCTCCAAGTCTGAACTGGAAGATAACTACTAATGAGATACACATCCAAAGAACAAGGATGCCCTCAATCTGAATTCTCGTTGGTACAAAGTTGCACGCTCCAATTTCTGCCCTCACATTAGCCTATATTCTACCCATTCTGGATTTATAGTTGAGTAAATTCTTTAGTTTCATTATATCAATACTTGCTGAGTGCTAACTATTGCAAAGCACCTTGAAAACATTTTAGAAGTGAGTATTGTTCAAAGTGTACGAAATATCTTAATTCTAGACATGTTTAGTATCTAATTCCTAAATACATTTCTGTTCATTGTACATCAAAACATTCTTAGAACAGCTACAAAATCAAACACAATTACGTTCTCAGGCAATGTTAAACTGAACAATAAAAACACTAAGCTGAGAAATTACTGATTTGTTGGGGGAAAAATCTGTCTTTCCATCCCCACTTCCTCACATTCCTTTCAGTTGGTTAACTTCTACTGAAGGAGTCAGCATTCTCTAAATGGGGTCTGAAGTAAGTACCATTTCTTCCCTGATTTTTTAAATTTCAATTAAGCCAACTTGTATTGATTTAAAAACAATTAAATAAGCCTGATAAAACCCTACTCATGCTTGGGAATGAGTCTGTTTAAGAACGTTAAGTTCCACACAATAACTTAGGATAGTCCAAACCTCATTACTGAGTATTACAAGCCCATTTCCAAAGCTTTACCATAGGGAAATTTCATTGATTACTGAAATTTTCTAACAGTAAACTTGGAAATATTACACAAATATTTTAGCTCATTATTTCTTGTAATGGCATTTTCTCCTATAGTAGTCAAGTCATAAGAACTAATATTTGCTGAGCCCAAACACTCAGCCGTTGCAAAAATAACTACTAAAAACAGAGATAAGTGGCAATTAAAAAAAAAAAACTGCCAAGGATTGGCGTTCTATAATACACTGTGTAGGTGACAGTGTGGGGAAATATGTATTCTTATATAAGGCAACTGGAACTGCATACCAGAAACACTTTTTTTCTGAGAAAAATGTGGAAATATCTCTATCAAAATTCATTCATATACTCTGACCTCTCAATTTCACAGCCATTCGTTTCTGCTATAAATAGACTTTGCACACGCATACAGAGGATATTCACTACTTGCATTTTTGTAATAGCAAGACCGATATAACTGTTCATTAATGAAGATTAGACAGTGTATGCCCATAAAATGGAGTATTATGCAGTCGTGAAATAAACAAGGCAGATCTATATCCAAAGGTATTAACTTGTTTTTAAAAAGCAAGATGCAAGCTTTAGGATTCCATTTATGTAACATTTTGAAATGACAAAATTTTAGAAATGGAAGATAGATTAGTGATTGCCAGGGTACATGCTTGGTAGAGTAGAGGGTCAGCAAAAAAGAGGAAGACCCTCAACGAGATGGACTGACACAGTGGCTGCAACAATGGGCTCAAACACAGCAACGATTGTGAGGATGGTGCGGGATCGGGTAGTGTTTCGTTCTGTTGTACCTAGGGTCGCTATGAGGCAGAACCAACTCGACGGCACCTAACAACCACCACAGGGTATAAAGAAGGGAAGACGAGGCGGGGAGAGATGTGGTTATACAAGGGTAACAGGCAGGACCCTTGTGGGGCTGGAACTGTTCAGTATCTTGACTGTGGTGGTGGATACAGGACCTACAAATATGGTAAAATTGTACAGGATTTCATACACACACACAAATGGGAAATCTGAAGGAGATCAGTGGATTGTATCAATGTCAATATCCTAGTTGTGATAATATAGTTTTATAAAATGTTACACTGGGGAAACTGGGCAAAGTATACAAGGGATCTCTCTGTATTATTTCTTACAATTGCATGTGAATATACAATTATCTCAAAAAAAAAAAAAAAAAAAAGCAAGGCAGAAAACTGCATCCTGTAAGCTTTTATTTGCATAAAAAAATATATGCTTCAATAAACACAAGCTATTTCAGGAAGGATACACGGGGAACTCCTAACAGTGGTTACTTCTGCAGGGAGGGACTCAAGAACTAGGGGTTAAGACTGAGAGAAACTTCACCCCTGCTAGGATGGCTATTATCAGAAAAATGGAAAACAAGTGTTGGAGAGGAGGTGGAGAAATTAGAAACCTCATCCATTTTTGGTGGGACTGTAAAATGGTGCAGCTGCTGTGGAAAATAGTTTGGCAGTTCCTCAAAGGTTAAACATAGAACTACCACATAACCCAGCAATTCTACTCCTAGGAATATACTCAAAAGATTTGAAAACAGGCACTCAGCTAGATATTTGTACACCAGCGTTCGCTGCAGCCAATGGACAAAAGATGGAAACAATCTAAATGCCCATCAACAGATGAGCAGATAAACAAAATGTGGTACATACATACATGAAATACCATTCAGAGACACACAGAAACAAAGCTCTGATACATGCTATGACATGAATGAACCTTGAAAACACACTGAGTGAAATAAGTCAGATATGAAAGGTCAAATATTTTATATGATCCTACTTATATGAAATATCTAAAACAGGCAAACACATAAACCAAAATTTATTAGTGGATACCAGAGGCAAGTGGGAGGTAGTTATTGCCTAAGGGGCACTGAGTTTCTGTTAAGGGTGCACTGAGTTTCTGTTAAGGACGATTAAAAAATTTGGAAATGGATGGTTGCACAACTTGAACACAATGTCACTGAACTGTACATGTAAAAATGGTTGAAATGGCAAATGTTTTGTCATATATATATTTTACCACAATAAAAAGTAAAAGGAAGGTATTTTCAAAGCAGATTATGGGGAAAAAAAAGACTGAGAGGGAGACTTACCTTTTACTAAATATACTCTTGTATCATTTGGAAAATTTATTTATCAAATGGGTATTCTCAATTAAAAAAAAAAAAAAAAACTTCCAAAACTTAACAATTAAGATGGATCCCTACCCTCCCACCCCAGATAAAAAATAAATTAATAAAATTCTGGGACAATCAAGAATTAGTTTCCCATCCTTTGGTTGAAGTTTTTAAGAAGAATTACTCAGACTTTTTTTTCTAAAAGAGTATCAGAGTCAAGGTACTGGATCTTAACTCCTACCTGAGAGTCCAATCTGAAGTGCTTTTCATTTATGTATTTTAACTCATTTTAATAAATAACTGGTAGCCAAGAAGGAAGAAAGACACAGCAATGTCAATATCTTTCACACCTGGTGTACAGGCCAGAAAAAAGCAACATTGTCTTGGGAAGCAGTTCTCTATGAAAGCTTGTTTTTGATCACTCCATCTTGAGAACATGCCAACTTCATGTAACTCTGAAGACTGACAATTCCTATTTTTCCCATATTGCTTTTGCAGAAAGCCCTGCCCCTAAGAGGTACTTAAAAGCTTGCTAAATCAAAACCTAGATTTTTTTCTATTATTATGACCAGATCCTTTAAATACAAAATTCTTAACTGATCATTTGTAAATTTAAGAGACTGGCTACTCTCAAAGACAGTGAAATATCTTAATAAGCTAATAAGATGAGAGGCATAATATTGTTTTAAAGACCTCATTCTCCTATATCTAAAAATCCTACAATAATAATTAACTAGCATTTTTCAGCTTTTTCTTTCTTGATCATTTGGTTCTACGTAAATCTAGATTATTTAACTAGACCAGAGCAAACATTTTCTTAAAGAGCCATATAGTAAATATTCCAGGCTCTATTAGCCAAGAGACAAATTTGGTCTCTGTTCCAACTACTCAACTCTGCCATGGTGGCACATGAGCGGCCAGACAATACATGAACAAATGAGTTTTGTCTGGCTCATACAAGTATAGGTAGCAGGTTGGATTTGGCCCATGAGGCCCACAGTTTGTCAATATCCGAACTAGAGCCTTTTATACTAAATTAAGCTTAAGAGAAAATTCCTCATTAAATTCACCTTTATGGCTTAATAGTTAGTACCACAAATCATACTTAAAATCAGGGGAGACTACGCTTAAAACTGTTTTGATACTCACAATACTACCAGAACTTGTCTTTCAATCTTTGACAATATTTAAACCTGTTTCCTATTATAACTCTTAGAGTTCCCCAGTTTTAGAACCTGAAGTGTTAATGATATTTTGATGCTATTACATTGTGACTTTTATCCCGCTGAAGCATTAACTGCCAGGTTCCATAACAGAACGTAAGAATTAATCTTCTGAGAGTCTTAATTCTTAGACTGTAATTGGAGGAAGATTACAGAAGGAGTTGGGGTTCAAGATTTGGGTTTGCCACTATTTGTGTACCAGTCATAAGTCATATTACCTTGCTCCTCCTCATTTTTGTGACGTTTAAAACAAAGGGGACAGAGACTGGAGAATCTGCAAGGATCCTTTGAGTTCTAAATTTTCATCTCCGTATTGGTATACAAGTGCAAAAGCTCACTGAGCTTTGAGTTATTTCTGCCTTTTTTCAGATTTTCCACACCTAGGTCACCAATCTGCATCAGATTTTGAATATCAAAAGTTCAGAACATTTAGAGGTATTCTTAAAAAAGAAAACAAATGAGGAAAAATTCTTTTATTATTTCAAATGTATTTTTTTTCCCTTAAAATCAAAATTTTCTTATTTTCAAAACCACCAGGTTTTGAATCCATGAAAGTTCTAAGTCCCTCACTTAGCCTTGCTGAACTAGAAATATAAAACCTTTATCAGGCTATTACTTAAGTCAGGGCCATTTAAATATAAAACACATACGGCAGACATACTTAATTAAGAGACTAGATAATATATTTATTAACCACCACTGGAAAATATTTAATACTAAAGAAACACCTGGCTGGTTATTAAGCTTAACTAGATGAGGGGCAGAGCTGAAATGACAATTTTCATCAGTCTTCTATACACGTTACATATTTCATGATCATAAGCACCGTACAGTAGTAGTTCCAAAGCTCTCTTGCTGCATACTAATACTTGCAGCTTTATTACCACATGTAAAATCATTAAGAATGCACAGGCAGGACTGCAGTTGGGAAAAGAGACCTGCCTCTTGTTTCATTATTTTTAGCTAAATGAATGTGTTTGCATAGACTATCAAAATATGAAATACATCCCTGCTGATCACCAGATTACTGCTATGCTGAGCCACAAAGTAAATGCTTAGACGGGCAGAGACCATAGCAAATAAAGAGCTAGGCTTTTTAATGAATCATTTCAGGGCTGTTTGAATAACAGCAAAGTAAACAATCACCCTTTTGCCATTTTAAAAGGCATTTCCCATTAAATACACTACCTTCTGTTCAAATACATAAAGACCAGGCAATCCAAGCAACTTACATTTAAACTAGCAATTACATTCACTTTATCTAACAATTAAAAGGTACCTATACTTTCTTCAAAACAGGTCTGAAGCCTATTTCAAGAACAACTAATATAACAACACTCTGATAATTAGATCTGATGATACTTGGCTATTCTCAGTTGTAAGACTCCTCTAACAGAATCCATACAATATACTGTATATATTTGAGAAACCAGGAATGTGGACAGCTGTATTGGATGGGAAAACAGCAATTTTTCTTCAGTTGTTTCTAGATAGGGATGGGGATAAGGGTGTGTTTTGGAGGTAGGGAGGCTGGGAGCCAATAAAGTGAGAAGCGATTAGGCAATTATCAGCTACTTTGCATAAGCTAGTATTAGGGGGAAAAAAACAACTGTTTTCACTGGTAGGAGTTGGGAAACCACTTCCTTGTAGCTATAAAAAATGATGCACACTTTCAGATGTGCCAAGTGAGGTCATGGGTTCTTGATGGCTGACAGTCCAAAACAAATTAGTCCATAAATACAGAAGAGGCTAGAATCTCAGTTTTTACTGGAAGTCTAAGAGACTAATATTGTTGTGGTACCAGTACTTGATTTCTGTATATGAAATATATAAAACCCTTAAGGACAGAAAAACAAGAACTGAAAGTAGAAATAGTACACAAAAGATTTAAATAAAGCTTTTTCATTTTCAAACTGAAACAAAGCAGGACACTTTTTTAGAATTCTGTTAAGTTCTATTAAAATACCTCCCAAGAATCTATTATGGTAACAGTTTGTTTGTATTTTGAACAGGCCACTCACTAATCACGGCAAGAAAATAAGGCAAAGCGTTCCCTCCCCTTCCAGAGCTCTGATCTTTGGACCATTCTGGGTCTAGGTGTAGAGACATGGAATGGAAGATGCTGGAAACTGGTGGGTAGTACCTCAACCACTTCCAAGGTATCTATACACACAAAGATTCACTGCACTTGGTGATTAAAATCATTTGGGGCTGACACCCGAGAACCAGCCTGCCGTGATAATAACTCTTTGGCTAGCTGTGCCTACCTGAATAGCTGCAAATGCCAGCGCTGCCCAGATAACATGCATCATAATTTCTTGTAACTTCTTCACAACTAGAGCCTCACACCCCTGAAACACACAAAGTCATCCACATTAGAAATCTTTTTGAAAAGTGAAACCTGCAGTTGTAAATTACTACTGACAAAAACTAAAAGAGGAAAAAAGATCACACAATTACAGCAAAAGTTAGACATGTAATTAAAGCAAAAGATAATGCATCTAAAAATAATTTACAGTAAAATAAAATGGCATTAAAGCAAAGGAGGGTGGAAAAGAAGTTCCAGGTAGAGATAAGACACAGAGAAAAGCAGGTTATTAGGCTAGACTCAAGTCTTGGCCAAGAGACCTGACTCACCTCGGCATAGAGGTCAGAGGGGTGGGCCAGGCTGCCATTACAGCTGCTGGCAGTCTCTCTGCAGCAGCTAAGAGGGACGCTCTGGTTTTTGGTTTCTTTGAACCAGTCTGTATTTTCCCAGTCTGAGTAATTGTGAATTCCACAACAGTGCAGCTAAAGGAAGACAGAAAGAGAATGGCGATGTTACTGCTCACAAAACACACCCCTGGGTTGAAATTTAGAGTTCCATGCACTACAGGCCTTTAAAAAAAAGCTACTCTAGAACAGTGCTGTCCAACAGAGCTTTCTGCAATGAAGGAAATGTTCTGTATTGGTGTGATTCAATATGGTAGCCACTAGCCATACGACACCATTGAGCACTTAAAATATGGTTAGTATGACCAAGGAACTGAATTTTTAATTTTAATTCAAACAGCCATGACTGGCTACTATATTGAGCAACATTGCTCTAGAACCTCTACATGAAAACCACATTGCCTGCAATGGCTAGTTTCTAGCTAAGAAAAATCTTCATTATCTTACATGTTAAATAATTGGTTCTGAGTTAAATATTATTTCCAGTGACAAAGTGTTTACAACGTTTTATCTGAAATGTCTGGGATTTGCTTTAAGACAAACTAGCAAAAAAAAAAAAAAAGGAGGGGTGGGTAATAGATGAAATAAGATTGACAAAGGATGATAATTTTGGAAGCTAGGTTATGGGTACATGGATCTATTATATATTAATCTCTCTACCTTTGTGTCCATAATTTTTTTTTAAACAGTTCTGCCTGCTGCCTTTTCTGGTCTTGCTTTCTAAAGGTAGATACAGACCTTCCACCTGCCCTAGAGTCCATCCAGACTCCCACCTTTCTTGTGGTACACATCTCTCCTTCCATTATCACCTCTCTGGCTAATTATTATTTTTTAGGGGAAAAAATGTCAGATGATTAAAAAAAAGTTGGATGCTTCTTCTCTGGCTTTGACTAGGTGATGATGGAAAAAAACCTTTCAAGGGTGAAGGCTGGGGAAAAATATTAAGACCCAGTAGGAGGCTAACCACAGCTGTGAAGGTACATGGCTAGTTTACATAGCAATAACAGAGTTAGTTTAACGTTGACCCAACAGTGATTGGCCCTCAACAACAAATTCACCTCAAGAGAGCTCACCTGTCTCTGTACGTAATCAATAGCCCGGCTAGCAGCATCAGGATTGGTTCCATTGTAGGTTTTATACACTTTCTGAATGCTGCGATCAACTTCATTTTCCACCTGAATCAAAACAAAGGATTTAGTTCCTCAAAAATACTGGTAAAAAGTAACATCAGGCAAGGCTCCAGCTAAAACGCTTAAATGGCATCTTTGCAAGTTGCCAGCCTCTGTGAATTTCTTGTAAGAAAAACGTTTTCTTCCTTCCTGCCTCTCTATAGATTCAGATTAACAGGTAAAAATTCAGGCATATTATACTACATGGATTAAAAGCATTCAAAGAGAAGGTTGTGTGCAAGATGGTAGGCTAACAGCGTATTCAAGAGGGAGAAAGCAGTTGAGTCTTGGGATTAATGTCCTAAATTACAAACGGACCACCTTCCTCTTTCAAGTAAGTTTTCAGCGTGTTCTCAGATCTATTCTTTTTTCCTTTCCTAAAGGAGGTAAAAATAAAACAACTTTAAAGCCCTCACAAGATACTTTTAGGACAAATGTCAACATTATTTCCATTTTACATACACAATGTTTAGATCTGGCCAAATATGCAAAACCTGCAAAAGCAGGTTAAAAAAAATCAGTCCTTAGAAGTGGCCTTCTATGAGAAAGCTGCAGTTCAATGTATGTCAAGAGGAGACCAGAAATAAACTATAACTTCTTGCTGCCAATTACTAAAGGGGCAAGCATCATTTAACGAAGTTTGCTTGTACCCGATTCTCCTTACTCCTCTAAGATGTCTAGAGCCATTTGGTAATTACACCAGTGATGTCATAAGACCCTAAAACTGATAAGCAGGTCATAGGCAAGGACATAATCCATTGCATTTTTGGGCACAGTGGCATAGTATCTTATGTACCAAGGGCTACAATATTAAGTTGGTATATCATGCCTTTGACTTAAAACAGTAAGTTAAATGAGAATGAGTCTATTAAGCCTTTATCATGGTTCTAGATAATTAACTGATTAATTAACAATAATTAATTAGATAATTAAGATAGTTAATTAATTTAAAGCAGCCTGTTTAGCTTTAAGTGGTCCAGGAGGTGGAAAGTAAAAGCAGGCAAAATATAAAGGAAAGAGAAAAAAAGAGAATAATCAAGAAAGGGAAAAGAGGAAGAAGAAGGGAGTGGCTGGTCTCTTATTCCTTAGAACAGAGGGGAAGGTAGGATCACAATTCAAATTCATCTTTTTTTTTTGTCTAGGACCAAGGCATTTTTAAAAGAGGCAATCAAAAATGAACTCCTCGACTTAATTCTTCTAAAACAGAAATCAGAAAATGTGTATTTCCTCCTCCTCAGACGGAAAATTTACGGGCTGAGGAAATTTGAATAAACTTCTCAACTGACCAACTATTCATTTGTAGCTCATTCTGAGATACTTTAAAGAATATTAAATACCTATAGTTAACAGCAGCAGAATTAACACTCTGCTACATTAAATGAGACTTAAAAAAAAAACAAAACTCACTGCCATTTAGTGGATTTCGACTCATAGTGACCTTACAGGACAGAGTAGAACTGCCCTAACAGGTTTCCAAGGCTGTAATCTTAACAGAAGCAGACTGCCACATCTTTCTCACAGAGCAGCTAGCAGGTTCAAACCACGGACCTTTCTGGTTAGTGGCTGGGTGCTTAACCACTGAGATACCAGGGCTCCTTTAGATATTTAAAGCAGCATCTAAACTGAAATAAGGCAGTTTATTGATAAAATGTATTTATTCTATTTTACTTGAAAAACTTAAACCACCTTTTAAAGCATTATTTTAATTCAGCAGACAACATACCTTTGCTCTGTAAACGTATCCCAAAACCACTACAACAACTTCTGTGACAAAAACCAAGAGTAGGATGATGACAAACTGTAAAGAAATATTGACAAAAATTAAACACAAATGAAAAAAATAGCTCTAAATGCTCTCTTTGTTAAAAAACAAAAACAAAAAAGTTATGAGAGATGACTATTAGCAATTTAAGACAAGCGTTAATTCTATCAAGTATTATAATAGCCAATGAGTCTATGGAGTTTCATGCTCAATTCAAAAAGAGTATCATACAAATTAACATTTCTGTGTTTCACACACTCAGTGAGATGCTAACTTACTGTGGCAAGTCCGCAGCGGCTTTCCCGGATTGTGGCGCAGCAGCCAATTAGCCCAATAATGAAGAGCAGGGCTCCTACAGCTATGATCACTACAGCAGGAATGAGAGTGTACACATCTTCAAAGAAGTGGTCATAATCGTCATAAGTGATGAAGACATAGGCTCCCACATAGCATAAAATGCCTGCTGCTCCCTGTAGAAAACAAGACCAGAGCACTGGCAAAAGTCTCTAAGCCTTGCCCAGTAAAATGTTCCTACTATTTCTTCACAGGTTATAATTTAATGAGATTTCCCATCACTTTTAAATCTATTTGTAGACTTTTTTTTCCCAGTAAGCTGGAAAGTCCCCTGTGATTCATTATTAAGAACATTTCTTTACTGGATAAAGTAGAAAAGTGTCCCAAACTCCACCAACTTTTCAATAATTGACAGTTCAGTTAGAACCAAGACCCATGAATCCAATAAGAATACTGGTAGTAAGAATGAAAAAACCACACACACATAACAAAGGCTTATTTGTAGCTCAACCTTTGCTCACTGTAGTTGCCCTCAAAAACTGGAGAAACTGTATAAGTGGCCGGGCCAAGATTTTATCCCAGGCAATCTGACTCTAGCATCTGCACTTTTAACCTTTATCTACTCCCTTAGGGAAAGAAAATATAATATTAACTAGCAACAACTTGCTGTCCTAATCTTCAAGACTATGAAATGGTAAAGAGGGAGGGCTCAGTCACCACATAGCATCACAAACCCTTAGATCTAACAATGCTTCTCAAACTTTAATATAAATAGGAATCACGTGAGGATCTTATTAAACTACAAAGTCTGAATGAATAGGTTTGGGGTGGGGCCTGAGACTCTGTATTTCTAACAAATTCCCAGGTGATGATGCTGCTGCTGGTTCTTGGCCACACTCTGAATAACCAGGCTTCAGAGCACCTAAAAGGAAATTGAACGTAAAAAGTCATGTAACAGATATGCCTCATCTCAGCTGCTGCTCCAGGCATCTTCTCCAGCTGCAGAGTTTTACACGCATTGTCTCCTCTATCATGGTCAGTTTTGCTATCCTAGTGTACCAGCTCTATGCTAACAACCCAGTGCCTTCTGCTTTATATGCACATGAGCAAATGCAGTGTCAGGCTAAGTATTACATCATTTGGTTTAATGAGCTATTTGTAGAGCACTTAGAGACTTTCACAGAAAAAGAATTATTTCAGCATCTTTAAAATTTAATACACAAATTATTAATTCTCAAACTAGAAAACAGCCTCTACAACAATACTGGAAATGTCGTCATCTCCTCTGAACCTAAAAACTCAGTTCATTTCTTAAGTCAATGGAACCCAGTAAGCTTGGGCATCATCGGTATTTTCATACACGAAGACATTAGAATCACTGTCAGATCTTGAAGAAAAAGATTCCATATATGTGAAGTTGAGAAAGTAACTTGATTTTTCTTTTATAACATGACTTTTAAAAATGAGAAGACTAGAATAATGGAGGTAATTAAAAAATATATTATTCTTTTTAAACTCTCCTCCTTTGGCTTTCAAGGGGTCCCACCACTGATTTTCTTCCTACTTCTCTATCTGTTCACTTTCTCATTCTCTTCAGGGACTCTTCTTTACCAGACTGAAATGGTAGTCGTCTCCAGGGTCCTGTCTTCCGCCCTGTTCTTTTTTCTCATTCGCTAGGATCTCTTTGGGCTAGACTGGCCATGGCTGCACTAGTCATTATAGCTCTCTACTAAAGCTACTGTCTCAAGACCTATACACCCCCATCTGGAAGTCCCACAAACACCCCACCCTCAACCTGCCTCAAATCTTCTCTGCCTCTATTCCCACTTCATCTTGTCTTCCTTTTATATTCCTATCTCAGCAAAAGGCACCAGATTCCTAATTTCTCTAGTCAAACACCTGAGTTACCCTATACTCTCTCCTTGACCCATTTCTATATGTAATCAATCACCAAACTCCTGTAAGTCTATTTCCAAAAACATTATTCATTATTTGAATACTTCTGCTTCTCTTCAACCCCACTGCAGTGTTTATGTCTTAATTTGGGCTTTATCATTGTTCACACTAAATCTTACTTCTACCCTTCCTTGCCGCTTAATAATATGTTCTTTACATTGTTACCAGAGTTATTTTTGATAAAAATACAAACCAGATCAAGGCAAAATTCGTTTTAGCTCCCCATTACCCTCAGGATGGGGTAAATATGGCCCTTGAAGCTGTTCCTCCTTGTTTTTCAACCTCAGACTTCATCAATACCCCTCATACACCCTGAGCAAGATAAAACTGTTATACCCAAATTCCCCATAAACTCTCTCACTTCCCCACCTCTGCTGTTCTCTCTGGAATGCTCTTCCTTCTCTTTATCTGCCTGAGAACTCCTTGATGCCCAGCAATATGCAGCTGTCATCTCTTGGAAGTCATCCTTGACGCTTTCAGGCTGGATTAGGTGCCCCTCATCCACTCATGTATCACCTCATGCATACTCCAACAGAGCATTTACTACATCTGTTGCAATTACAGCTATACATGTCTCAACATGTCTTGAGGGCACAAACTGTGCCTGTCTGTCTTTCAGCTCTGTATCACCATCCCACACTTACAACAGTGCTTGACACACAGCAGTATCAGTCAAAATTTATTGAGTGCACATCTGTGATAGCTCAGGTTGTGTGTCAACATGGCCGGGCCACGATTCTTAGTGGTTTGGCAGTTACGTAATGATGCAGTTTGGTATTTACATAATGCTGTAGGTTGGCTGGTGCTGCAGTGGTTAAGAGCTCGGCTGCTAACCAAAATGCTGGCAGTTTGAATGCACCAGCCACTCCTTGGAAACCCTATAGGGCAGTTCTACTCTGTCCTACAGTGTTGCTATGAGTCAGAATTGACTCAGTGGCCATGGGTTTGGAGCCCTGGTGGTGTGCAACAGTTAAGAGCTCGGCTGCTAATCAAAAGGCTGGCAGTTCTAATCCACCAACCGCTCCTTGGAAACGCTATGGGACAGTTCTACTCTGACCTACAGAGTTGCTGTGAGTCGGAATCGACTCAACAGCAACAGGTTTTTATGGGTAGTTTGGCAGTTATGTAATGATGTAGTCATCCTCCATGATGTGATCTGATGTGATCAGCCCAATCAGTTGTAAGGGGAGGTTCTTCAAGGGTGTGTAGTCTGCATCCTATATATATATATATAAATATATACATACATATATATGGATGTTCTGGCAAAGCTTGCTTGCTCTGGATCCTGCATCCGGACTGTCATCATTTGACCTCTGGTTCTTGGGACTTGAGCCAGCTGCCTGCCATCTGACCTGCCAATCCTGGGACTGTCTGCCCCTGAAGCTACGTGAGTCAGGAGAAGCCTCCAGCTGATGCCTGACCCACGGACTTGGGACTTGTCAGCCTCTACAACTGCGTGAGCCATTCCCTTGAGATAAATCCCTCTCTCTACATATACACAAGCTTCACTGGTTTTGCTTCTCTATAGAACCTAGCCTAAGACATTATCTTAACCCTGCCCTTAAAATCATCCTCCCACTTCTATCAAAAGGTTTTGTTTGTAATTACTTTGCTTCTCTCAGTCCAATATGTACACTCTTTAGTTCAGTATTCAAACATGATGTGGCAACTTAATTCGGCTTATTGAATTCCTGATGGCCATTATGTCTGAATACATTAGTTTGTAAACAATACTGTATCGTAAATATAAATGCTGCACTTATAGCAACTGCATCTGTTCAAAGGTCCTCAAGGTTCACAGACATACTTGCTTTGTGGGCACACTACTGTGGGATGAAGGGAGGCACAGGAGAGGGAGAAGAAGAGGAGAAATAGTTTAATGGTTTGAGTGTGCTTATTACAGAAATACATGGACTATTTAGTACACTTACCAAATACTACTTATCTTTAACTATATATGTGATGTGATACACACAATCTCACACACACACACACACACTTATATATACACTGAAAATTGTGAGAGCCACAACTCAACGGGACTGCCTTATTTTTGCGGGTCTTGTAAGTTTTCCACCTTTGACAGGGTGCAGTCTTACCACTTTTCCATAGCTCTCTATTAGTGGATAGTATTTGAGTTTTCCTTCTCTGACAGGTTTTCACCTTACACAGGTTCTGGCTTTCACAGGTTTAATGTATACACACACTCACATATTTTGCACGAGTAAACAATTTCAGCACTTACGGTGAATTAGCAGAAATCTTAAATATAAATTAAATTTCCCCCAGTTTGTCTTCACTAGTCATCCTTTAAAGTCTTAGCTTTTCTTACTGTAAAAGTCTGTATTTGTTTTTTAAAAGGCTTGAATTAAAATGAATTCCATTTTTGAGCTTCTAGGAAGTGACATTTTAGCCTACATAAATCTGAATGAAAATGATATAAAACGGTAAGATATACACAGTATGCACTCAATAATTTATCTGAAGCAAAGGACCCTGACGAACCACTCACATTTTAGACTTAAAATAATGAGGTTTCAACCTAAAGAGATTCCTGTGAGAATCACACCTAGTGCTGCCTGGGAATGGGCCAAGTGAAAGGCTTCTAGTGCTGTCACTGTCTACCCAGATGGAGGCACTCATCTGAAATCGAGACTGTGAGAACACCAAACCAACAGCAGATATCACCAGATGTGTAACAAATGCAACGTAAGGCTAGGAGGTGACGCCATTTATAAAGCTGCCTTTTTTTTTTTTTTAGTATTTATTTTATTTTGGGTGAAAATATATACATAGCAAAACACACCCATTCAACAATTTTCACAGGTACAACTCAGTGATCTCGGTTACATTCTTCACGTTGCGTCATCCTTCTTGCTATCTGTACCCAAATTATTTTATTACCATCAACTCAGACTCACTACCCCCTAAACTTCTCATCTATGCTTTAGAGTTACTGCTGTCAATTTGATCTCATATAGATAATTCTTTAAAGAGGTGTGATGCTCAAGGTAAACATTTTTTTACTAATTGATGCCTATTCTTTTCTAATAGACTCAAGAGCAGTTTCTTTTTCCAGGCTGCAAACCAGTCAACATCCAACTCACACAGCAGAGCTGAGATTCCAACAGAACTCTATTTTGGCTACATACAGTGAGAAGTAACCTATTAGTCGCAAGCCTTGTGCATACAGCAAAGCAGAAACAACTGCCTGATTGCTGACATGAGACTATATAAACCAAATCACTTGTAAATAGTGGCTATGTTTCCTAAACTGAAGACAACTTCAAAATTTTCTTCTTTTAATGAAATCTATAGTGCTTATATCTTAAACTGTATAATAAATAATTTATGGAATGACAGCAGTTACTTTGAAAATACAAAGTAGGTGTCCTACAAACAGCTGAAGACCTAAAAACAGCTATAAGCAAATGTTTTCCTGACATTCAACAATCAGTATGGAGAGCACCCAAAAGAACATGGGCAAGGGTAAAGTGTGTATGGTAAATGGAGGGAAGGTTATAAGTGACTCCTAGGTAGCATGCATAGGGACTCTGTAGTCACTCAGATTTTTAATACAGGAGTCACAGGTTTTAGAAAGGCTAAAAGGTGAGCACAGTTAAATCTTTCTTTTCAAGGTCCAGGATGGAATTGGGATCTATCAAAAGATCAGGGCTTTGCCAACAAGGCAGCTGTGGGAGGAGGACAAGCGGGGAGGAGGTGGAATAGAAGAGGAGATGAAATGTAGAACTTGGAAGCAGCTGAACTGCTTCAGTCGCCAGTAAGAAAAGCTGAGCCTATAAGGGCGCTTTGTGCCAGGACGGTATACTAAAAATATTCACTCTTTTTACCAAGAAGAAAGCGGAAATTTAACGAAAAGACTGAGATCTGAAACTACAGAAAGAATATATATTTTTAAAACTACTCTTCTTATCTTTTAATAAGCCCATGCTCCAAATTAAGTCATGGAATTTTAAAACTAGGAGAGCTAGTACTTCTGTCATACACCAAACTGTCATGACAAAAAAGAAAATAAAGCTATCTTGTAAAATTTTGTTGAAGTGTATGGTCTCCAGAAGTATGAGACTTCATTTTATCCCTTTACCCTTCCTCTACATACACACGAATGTGAAATCTCTTTTAAAGTAAAGAATTTCATTCTTTCGTAAGATTGTTTTTCCTACAGTTTAGGAACTAATTTTTTGTTGTTGTTTTTGTAATTTTCAAATCCTCTGTGAAAGACACAGATGAACTGATGAAATGCTAAAATCCTCAAAACTAATAAATTCCTTCATTTTCTTAGGAAGAAGGAATATGGAATGAAAGGAGGTACATCGACCACAGTGAAACCTGCCATTGGAATGTGGCAATATTACAGTATTAGAAACAGACTTGTTACCAGCTGCGGAGATAAAATAGCTCTGTTGTCAAAAGTGTATCTATATGGAAATTTAGAAATGTGAAGTTGGAAGTATCCCACAGAACATTTGGGTGAAGATAAAGCAAAGCAGAAGTGATTTTCTTGCAGTGCTATGTAGCAGACGTGGGTGATTCATATAACAACAGGCAAGAATCAGGACAGCGTAAAGATGAGTGACCATCTGAACTTCACTCAGCTAAAACCACAGTACCTGACAAATTCTTGCTTGCCTTGTGAACTGCTCCTCTGGAGTGATTTTTGCCTCAAAGAATCAATTGGTAAAGTAGAAGTGATCGGAATGTTGGGAAGAAAAATAGTCAAGAAGAGAAAGACTGGGTGAAACCACTGTGTACTCTAGTAGACTTTAACACAGCAGACTTTCAAGTAGAAAGCAGAGAGGAAAAATAAAAACCCCAGCAGAAATCCATCTCATGTATACATCTCATCATTTAATTCAATGGGTTGCCTGTACAGTCATATTAGTTTTTATGTATCTCACTTGTCTCCTGCGATGTCTGAGTCACTGGTAGTTCTACACCATACATTTCTGAAAGCTTCCTAAAACTCCACCCTCATGTCATTAAGAGTGTCTTAAAATCATCTTGACAATAATCTTTTAGCACTGTACTTAACATAATAATCTCTAGCCCAACCATGCTTTGTTTCAATACTGACTTAGTCTACTAAAATAGTTCATCTAATTAAGCTCGATTACTCCTTTACCAAGTCCAAAAACCAACTGAAATAGTTGACTCTGACTCATGGTGACCCCATGTGTGTCAAAGCAGAACTGTGCTCCGAAGCATTTTCAATGGCTAATTTTTTGGAAACAGATCAACAGGACTTTCTTCCGAGGCACTTCTGGGTGGACTCAAACCTCCAACTTTCGGTTAGCAGCCCCAGAGACTTTACCAAGTCCACTGCCTATTCACTCTCTTATCAACTTTCAAAGAAAAAAAAAGACTACTCCAAAGAATTCAAATCTTCTTTCAGAAATTAAAGGTATTCTTACTATGATTTTTTTGAAGTTATTAAAATACTATTTTTTACCAAACTGGTCAATAATAAAACCAACCTCACTGTCATGATTATTGCCATTATTCTTAAAGGAGAAATATTTCAATCCTTTTAAATTGCTATTACTTTGATGATATTCCAACAGTCATGCTCCTCAATCCTGCCCTATTTTCACTTGTTCTATATTCAGTTTTTTATATTCATTCCTTATCCAGCTTAACAAAGCTGCTCTATTTAATCCAATTTGCACCTACCATTTGAAAGACCCAAAAGTTCAAGTTGCAATAAATGAAGATCAACCAACGCCACAGCCAAATTATTTTAACAGCATGGAAACTGGCTATTTTCAGACTGCAGGGCTCCAGGGGTCATCTGAGAAGCACGGAATTCAGACATGCATTTTCTTTGAGACCCTCTGTTTACACACTCTACTATACCAGTATATATAACAGTCGATGTTGAGCCAACTCTGACTCATGGTGACTTCATATGTCAGAGTACAACTGTGCTCCACAGGGTTTTGAATGGCTGATTTTTTCAGAAGTAGATTGCCAGGCCTTTCTTCCAAGGTGCCTCTGGGTGGAATTAAACCTTCTACTCCTCAGACCTTATTCTGTCTGTAAAAAGAATGAGTTATTATTGTAGGAGCCTGGGGTAATTAAGTTTTATAATGTTAGAGTTTGTCCATGTGTGGGTTATGTGTTTAATCAGTAGCAGCAACAATGTAAAATATAATATGTCAACAATTACTATTAAACCCCTTTTAGTAGATCAAAAACAAATACGTAAATGCAAACAACTTTTTTCTTCAACTACTATGTCAAATTATTAAATGGGAAGCAGGGAGAGAGGAGGAAGAGATGGTGATAACATTTTTAAAGGAAGAATTGAGGCTGTCCGTAAGTGTGATTTTTGGGGGGAAGGTGCACCTAGAAATTAAATTCAGTGAAGAATTAGAAGATTTTGACTGTCCCTCTCTGCTCTCCCCGGTCCCCTCTTCCAATTAACTGTGAGACAGCAGAGACTATGTCTTTTTATTCTTTATATTCTCCAGAAACAAGAGTAGATATTAAACAAGCATTTAATGAAAGAATGGTTCTTGGGGTATACTTGTTTGATGCAAGTATAAATTTTATAGAATAAATTTTCTGCAAAGACACCTAAACTGAATTGGGTCTTACAGAATAAAATTCATTAAAATATTTCAAAGTATGGTAAATACCCTAGAAAGCTAGTAAATAACCTAGTCCTTAAATTGCAACTAAAAACAGTGTTCCTGCAAATGGTCACCCTGCTGATTCCAAGTTCCCAATGTTATGAGTTCTTTCAGTTAATGATTACTCAGAGCCATAAGGCACTTGGTCAGTGGACAGATGACTGAGAATGTATAAAGACTGGAAACATTCATTTTCTTAACTGTCAAAGACAAATTAAAAGCTAAGTTATGCCTTTCCTAGTATCATAACATAACTTGTTCACTGACAAAGTTAGCCTTTTTTCTAGTGAACTGAAAAACAACTATGAAAAAAAAATCTGTTAGCTTAAGTGTGTTCCAATGACACATTCTTTGTCAAAACAGTCATTCACAATACAGAAATGCAGGAGGTAGAGAAACAAATTCCAGGATGTCAGATGAACATTAAGGTTTAAAAGTATCCTCAAATGTGTCAGATGTGCTGGAAAATACAAAATATGCAACAAGAGGGAAAAACAGTTGAAACACTTCATTATAAACTTTTATTTTTTTAAACTGGAACATGAAGGCATAGTCAAACCTTTTAGCAATTTGAACATGCGAAGTACAGGCATGTTCCCTCGGCCTTGAAAATGCTCCCCAATGCCACCCAAATCACCCCTAGACCAGCTCCTTCTTATATTCCAGGTTAAATCTGATCTCCTTTAAAAAAACAGAAAACAAAAAACTGATCTCCTTGGAGAAGCCTTCTTTGCCAACCTAAAGCAGCCACCCAATTACGCTATCACACCACCTCATTTTAATTCTCTATGTAACACATCACCATCTAGTATTTTTCTTGTTTATTTTTAATTGTCTGTCTTTCTCCACCAGAAAGTTTTGTGAGAATGGTGATCTTCACTGTCTTTTTCACCATTTTATCAACAATACAGGCACAAAGTAGATGCATTATATTTGTTTAATATTTGTGTTATATTTATTATAACAAAGCAATTTTTAGTTATATGCATTCAACAGAGGGGAGTATGATAAGTTTTTCTGTTAAAAGGAGGAATAAATTTTAAAGGTTATATTTTGCTTTCAAATATGATTTGTATGTACAGATTATTTACGTATGAGTAAAAGATGATTAGTGAAGGTGTCATATTCTGAAGTTGCTTTTAAAGGTGTTAAAAAGGCGCTTGATCTTATGGTACGCTCCACTCCACACGTGTTTTAGTGTTACTATCAGCTCTTATACAGATGGAAAGCAACAGCCTAAGTAGATGTGTCAGATTATAAACGCTACAAGCATGGACAAAGCTTCCGTTTCTCTTCCAGTCCCTATTATGCTTAAAACGCGTAAGAGTGAAATAGTGAGCAAAACAAATATGAGCTTAAAACACATAGTAGCCAACTGGTTTTTCTCACAGGGTAGAAAAAGTAGTAATTCGTCTAACACTGGACTTCTAAGTATTCAATTAACTAACTAACCAGAATAAAAACCTAATTATTAGAAAGTACTGATTTAAACTTGCTTTAGACAAGACCTTGGGTCATAGCAATGATCCATCAAATTTAGAATCCTGTCTGGCCTCGGTACAAAGGCACAGTTTATAGAAGAGGCTTCTTGTTGTTAGTTGCTGTCAAGTCAATTCCGACTCATGGTGACCCTATGTGTGCAGAGTAGAACCACTCCATAGGGTTTTCAAGGCTGTGACCTTTTGGAAGCAGATCGACAGGTCTGCCTTTTACGCGTCTCTGGGTAGGTCTGAACTGCCAACCATAACATAACTTGCTTACTGACAAAGTTAGCTTTTTTTCCTAGTGAACTGAAAAACTATGAAAAAAAAAATCTGTTAGCTTAAGGTATGTTCCACTGACCCATTATTTGTCAAAACCGTCATTCATAATGATAGAAATACAACACGTAAGTGCTAGTAGTTGAGTTGAGCCCTGGTGGCACAGTGGTTAAGAGCTCAGGTTGCCCACCAAAAGATAGGCAGTTCGAATCCACCAGCTGCTCCTTGGAAACCCTATGGGGCAGATCTACTCTGTCCTACAGGGTCACTATGAGTCAGAATTGACTCGACAACAACGGATTTGGTTTAGCAGTTGCGTGCTTAACCATCTGCGCCACTCAGGTACTCCTATTGATAGAAAAGGCTGGTGGCTGTTTATTCCAATAGGCTTTAAAATTTCGTCATGTATCTCAAACACTCCTAACCTTCTTTAACAAATCATCATGGGTCTAGCGTTAATTACATTTAAAAGCTACACTGCTCCATAAAAACAAAGAGATCCATATTGTACATCCTTTCTTTCATTTGTCCAAAATTATTTTCAAGCTACAAGCCCTAATATTCTGGAATTTGGTGAGGAACTCTCTATTCCCATTATGACAATCTGCAGGATTTTATAAACAATTGTTTCCCCTTTTAGTTTTTGCCTTTCCACAGTTCCTTTCTTAGACTGCACTGTCAAAACAATCTAGACCAATCAACTTTAACAATTGTGGCTGTTATCAGAGCATTTAATGCTGAGCCAGAGTATTTCAGGTATATACTTATTTCCACATCACAGCTCACAGAATGCCAACTGAACCAGAATACCAAGATATAAAAACATGTAAAGATCTTGCCAAACCAATTAACTTTACTACTTACCTGCAATCAGCCACTACCATCTGATCGTAAGAGCCTGTATAAGAGTTAAAAAGTCTACTAAAGTTGCCTAAGGAAACCTAGATGAACTTCTGATACGCTCTAGCTAGGGAATGTTTATTCTTCCACTAACAGATCCCAAAGCATTAACAAGGGGGGCATTATATGAGAATACACTTATTAGAACTGAAGAATGTATTACAAACTTTCAGGGAGAACCCGTTAACATTTGTTTTCTGTACTTCCTCATTATGACCTAATTTTTTTAAACAGACAAAGTTAATAGTGTAGTTGAAATGCTGGTACAGGTTCTAACCATGGGTAAAATCAGTATGTTCCAGAGAAAGTGACTCTAACCTAGCTACCAAGTTCCTTCCCTTTCCAAATCTTTTGAAACCACACTTTGTTTTAACCCCACAAACTAGCATATGATGGGACAATCTGGATTAACGCTGGCTCTGCCACACCTTGGGTGTGCTACTTTAACTCAGTAAACCATAATGCCGTCATCTGTAAAATAAGCATAACAACATTCCCTGCCAAATGAGGCTGCTGTTAGGATACTCCATGTAAAGTCCTTAGCATGTAGTGTGTGGCATGTAGTAAGCACTGGAATGTTAGCTATCATTACCACCATCATCAGATTTCAATAGTTTATCTCTAATCATTTGGCAGGAGACACATGTAAAACTGTTTCCTTGTTAGTTACGTTGTACTCATTAATGCTGCTCTAAGCCACAATTTTCCTCCTGCATAGCTGTTTAACTTCCTTATCATAGCTCACAAAAGCTTTACTATCCTACTAACCCAGAAAAAAGGTGTTTTTAGAACACCGTATGACTTCAGTCTTGATGATAACCCACCATAAGCACAACTGAAGTTCAACAAAACCTTCTTCACTGAAGTTAAGTACCAATAATACGTACATATACTTACACAACTTACATAGACTCATGAGCAACCACCTAGAATTAACTGATATTTTAGAGTAAATGAAAATTTATTTAAAGAAAATGATTCCGCTATTTCCAATATTTTGTTACATTAACAACAATTCTAGTTCTTCAGCTTGAAAAACCTAGAATCCACCTCATAGTGCGTATATTATTCTTCACAATCAAAAAGTTATGCCCATAAAATCATAAGGACCTGTAAGGGTACAAAGCCAAGTCTCTGCCCCTTAAGTACCTCATTTTTTAAGGGAGTGTTTCTCATTTGAGGATTCTTGAAATTTCTTCCCTTTAAGAAGGCCTAAGGTATAAGACACACTGTTCTAACCGAAAAGACAAAATCGTGGAATCCCCACTATCACTACCTACCAGCTAGGACTCTTTCCTTCACACCATAAAGACCCTAAAAGACTCTA